CCTCTCTCCCCTTTTGCTTCCTCTCCCTACGGTTATGTGTTGGAGCCCCCCCCCCGATGATGATACTCGTAATTTTTTAAATTTGTTCATAACTACAAGTTGTTTGTAACTTAGACATTCATAACTTGAGGACTGCCTGTAAATGCCTTTTCCTTTTGTTGTTTCCTCATTGCAAGGTTAGACAACCAGCCCATTATAAGTATTTAGACTTTCATTAAGCCATATAGGTAGGTCTTTTTTCCTCCTCAGGCGGCTTTGGATTTTTACAGAGGTAATGACCACACAAAGCTAGCACTAAAGAACTGGCAGACATTGGATACATTAGCAAGGGATGAATTTGAAGAATGGCATTCTCCTAATAATGAACCACAGAGTCAGCTGACTTAAGGAAAAAGAACTGCTCACATGTGCAATCTAATCACAGGAGCCAAACTCATTTTGTGAAAAAAGGAAACGGCAGTTGAATTCTTGCATGAACTTCCAGCTCTCACCTTACATAGCTTATGTTTGTCCCCACTGTCTGTTTAGAATAATCTCAGTTGTTTTGGGAATTATTCTGTATTTTTAAGTTTAGAACTTTCCATACAGTCATAGGGTGAGCTTTGAAAAGAAAAGAGAATTTAGTCCCCGAGAAAGGATATAAGAGAAAAAAATGTCAATGCCTATACTGAGAAATAACAGTCTCACTTTTGATAGTGATAACAGATCAGGACAAAATGAATTTATTCATAAACCATGGATGGAAAGGTGCCTTACTCATTCAATTCCAAACATCTGTAATACTGTAAGTTGAAAAAAGAAGTTTCCTTTCTTGACCACATAAGAAAAACCCTCCAGGCAAGAAGCAGAAAGTAGGGAGTTGAATAAAAAGAGGATACCTCAAAAGAAAGCTCAGAATAGGTATCCATTATCAAAAGGTTTAGATGGTTCCTCTTAGGGAAACAAACACCATAAAGCAAAACTCTGACAAGCTCAAAGACAAAAATCCAAATTCCTAACCTCACCACTAAGTTTCCACAAAGAATGCCAAACTATTACATTTCTATATAGCCATGCCTTCTATCAAAAAAACATACCCAGTTTTCTGAAGAGTCTTACAGAACCAACTAAATGTGCTACCAAAACAGAAGGCGCATAATAAGCAAGGGTATGCTTCAGACCAAAAAGAACTACACCAACAGCAGGGAGTAAGTTAGCAGAAAACTCTGCCCTGAATACAGGCTACAGCATCAGAAGTCACAGCAATGTGAAAAGGTGCAATATAGGTACTTAGCTTCCCCCTCTACTTATGCTTCCTACAAATCACTAAAATGCTAACTACTAAGTGTTGACCTAACAGATACAACCACATCACCACCTGGATATCAGAAATTATATCACTATACCACTGCCAGCCTGAATGTAGACAATCTGTGCTAACAGTTAATACTAAATTGAGCAAATGTCAGCATGATAGTATAGAAAACTGCAATGGGGTGTTTGCATAAAGTCAAAATTGCAAATTCAAACTGCACTATGCATCTGAAGAAAGTCTTCGTATCAAATCAGCTTTACACATTGCACCATCCTATATAGGACAACAGACAAAACATAGACACTGCCAGGTATGAAAGACAGAAGTGTATTTGGCTTTATACACATCTGAAAAATACAAAACAGAGTAAATCCTAAACATGTGTACATAACCAGAAACATGCAAGATAGTGCACATGATTTCTTTCCTACCATTTTGTAGGCAAAGCTGGCTCATGCACAAGCTTTCAGATGAAGCACAATAAATGACCAAGAAAATACTACCTCCTACTCTGCTAAAATCATGCAGAATAGCTTGTAGGCAAAAACCACATGGCTAACAAGGTACAGGCTAACCGTAAGAACAGCTCTATTCCTGATGACATTCTACTGTGGTCCCTCTTGAATACTCAGACTCTATGGGATTTAGGTAACAGATTTTAATGTCACAAGCACTGATTTAACTACTAGCCAATCCAAACATACTGCAATATTTTTCATGAAAGCAGGGAGATTTGCTTTTAGCAAATCGTTAAGGAATCTGCAACTGCTGGTCCTCTAATGCAGTATGCAGAAGGATCAGCAGGTGCCACTGGGTGCAGCAAATTAGTTTGAATATCTAATTTATACTCATTCCTTTACTACCATAGTTTCTGTTGGAGGTGGGGGAAGGTACAAAGGAGAACTGAGAAGCACAACACACCAGCTGGGTGGTCCCATTACAAGTTTAGGAGTAGAGAGCATTCCAGAAATTTAGGGCACAAGCTATTCTTGTCCAGTTCTGATCTTCCTATAGATGATGATGTCTCCACAAGTTAAAAAATGCTGCAAGGAAAACATCTCAACAGATCAGGTTGGTGCAAGACACTGTTATGTAAGCTACCCTTTTGTAGTTTAAAAGTTGGACTGCCTGGGGGCAAGCAAGTGTACTTGACCATTTGCGGTTTCTGCTTTATTTCCAGAATTGTTCAGTAATACTGCTCAGAATGCTGGGTTACTGATAAAAATGCCAATTAGAGACCTGATTCACATGTAATAACTAACTAGAGAATAAACAACCTGTAGTCAGTCAAGAATAATGCCAGGCAAGCTGTCAACCATATACTTGCCAATTCCACTTTACTCTAACAACCTAAGAATATCCCATTTCTGGGTTGGGGTTGTTCATCTTGAAATACATACCCACTGGCTCATTGAGAAGGGAACAATAAATGAGGGTTTAAAATTTTAATTAATTTCTTCCTGAATAATAATGGACAAACTAGGAACACTAAGCATCTGGGCAGTTTACTGAAGTAAGAGCAGAGGCAATGAACAGGAAGGTGGGAAAGAGCTCCTGTGCAGCTCCAATCAAACATGTGTTGTTTAATTTGTAGTTCATTGTTACATGCAAAATGTGTTGGAGATGTAAGTCAACAACAAACTATGGGATAACACTATGTTGTTTCTCCCTCATCTAACCAGAATCCTGGGTTTGAATGTTATGCTGCATAATACAGGAATAGTGTGTCCCTGGGATGTTTTGGAAGTTGTCATAAGGCAGAATGTTCACTTGAGCACATGGGGTAACGGTTACATGCAAACACAATCTATATCAACAGCCAGGGAAATCCATCTGCATTAATACAATGCCTCCAAATTTAAATTATCAAACTATACATTGTTTTCAGGTTCAATTCTATTGTCACTTAACTACATGATTTATAAACTGAAGATTTGAACTACAGTCTAACATTTAGTTCAAAAGACCTACTAGCAATACTGATGAAAAACCTTGGGAAAATTAATATAAACCTAACTAACTAGAATTGCAACAAGACAAACTTTTTGGTAAAGTGAAACCATGAAAATGCATGATTGGTTTTATCTCAACATAATAAATGTTATGATTATGAACATTATACAAGTCAGAGCCACCCCATAGTTTATTAAAATCTCATACATACAAATTCTAGCAAGTGACCCTCCATAATAATTTCCTAAGTTTTGCAAATGTTTTAATAAGTGACAAGATAAGCTATAAACCAACATGCCAGCTTCTTTTCAACCAGGCATCTGCAGATCTACTAAGAATGATGTCCTTTAAAAGTTCAGGAATATCAAAGATTTTTAATTAGGTGATCAGTTTCTACTGGAACTTCTTCTAAAAAGGTAAGTGAATTATAATCTCTGCCTAAACTTAGTTTCTACTGAACTATATGGAACGTTAGAACTACGCGGCTTTCCTGAGGGCAATGGAAAAGAAAGGAAGAGTGTAGTTCCATGTGCTGAACACCTAAGCGATACTTCAGAGGAAACAAACTGGAGCCTAAAAATAACAGCTAAGATCCTAGCAGATCTCCGAATCTGATCACAAGTGAGTTCCACAGGGCTTTTTTTTTTCCCTTAGGTATGTAGCCGCCGACTGCGGCCTTGCTAAGAAAAATACCGTTTGCCGCGCATCCTTAGCCCATTCTTATCAGACTGCAAAACAAGAAATGCCGGAAACCAATTTTTTTTTTAAAAAGTACCAGTTCGAGCCAAGATGCCAGACAACAAGGCCTCCACTCACAGGGAGTCACTGGGAGGCAAGGTACAACCAGAGCTGCTGCTGAAATATCTAAAGTGGGGGCGGCGCTAGGGCAGGACCAGCGGTCGGCCAGGCCTGGAGGAACCGCAACCTTTGGCAGGCAGGACAGAGCACGGCGCGAAGAAACGGAGTCGCCTGGTGCACTCTATTTCGAGGAAGGAAAGAGTCAGTCAACCCCCTCCTTGACTGCTGCTACCTCGTGCCTGTTTGCCCGCCGGCCGGCCGGCCATCCTCCTTACCGGAGTCGTGGCCGCTACCACCGTTTCCCCTCCTGCTCGATGACAAAATGGCGGCGGCAGGAAGTACCATCAGCACCCGCCCCGCCCAGGCTCGCTCACTGCGCCACCCGCGCACCGGAGTCAGAGACACTCCGCTATTTTCTCTCACACCCGCACAGGCGCATACCCCAAGAGTCAACAGGCCGAATGCGCGAGGAAAGTGAGGAGTGCACCTACAATGTAAGCCGGTTTCATAGCGGTACGCGCTGAGGACACGGACATACTTACGACAATCACGTACCCTACAGGGAATAGAGAAGCCGCTCTTACGCAAACTCCGCAGCCACCAAAAACCTTCCACAAACCTACCGCAATCCGCGTAACCGTGCAAAATAGCGAGCCATCTCCTACGCAAGAAGCCGGCGCAGAACTTAGCCACCAACTACGAAATATGCACAAATACAAAAGAAATAAGATGCGCCCTTCAGTAGCAAGAAACACAAGGAAGAATCCCACGAACAGACAGAATAGATCGTAAAGGTTCGCCTAAGACCTTTGCGCAATAGGCCTCCGCGCAAAATGCGTAATCCGCCTGACGCAACGGTCACATTACGCAATGCGGGTTACGCCGGCAAGACAACGTAACTGAACAAGGAGAATACCAACCCCCGCAACCGCTCCCGACCCGGCCCAGCTCTTACCTGAAGCCAAGCGAAGAGTCAGACCAGGCCGATTTGTCACTAAGCTCCTATCAGACCAAATCCTACAATGTCCAAGGTTCACGGAACGCGCCGCACTCCGTAGAGGGGGGTGAAAGACTACAGCGAGCCGAGCAAAGCAGACAGAGCGACGGGCAGCGGGACCAGCAACGGCGGCGCTAGACTGACCTCACCGCGCAACGCGTTACGTCATCGCGTCAGAAGCCACGCCTCGAGTCAGGTTCCCTTATCTCAGGGCCACGCCCCCTATAGCGAGAAGTGTTGGGACAGCGAGCGGGTGGAATTTCTTTCCCGGTGTCATGCAGAGGGAGAGCCTAACAATCGAGAGTGGAGGAAAGATGCTGAGGCGCTGCAGCCCTAGAAGGATGCTTGAAAAAAGGAATTCCTGCTGCCTCCAAGTAGCGTTGTTGGAAAAAGGAGTCTCTGCCCTTAAGACTGGAGGAACCTCGTCCTGTTCTCCCCTCCCCTTCTCATAGGGGAGGCAAGCCTCTTGCTACTTGATAGAAAGCATCATCCCGCCCTCGTCTACCTCTGATATCGAAATCCTACTCCCACCGCATTCACACTTGCTCTAGAAAGACATCAGCGCCCAGTTACTGTGCCAACACAGTTATGCGCTTGCCCAGAAAAGTGTGCGGCTACTTGTGTGTGTCACATGGCTCTTACAGCCTGTTAGCCCAGCACTGACCGTGTCTGCCCCAGCATGCCGTTGGTGCTTGATCATAAAAATAATTGCCGCTCAGGCCGGAGTGCCCGGTGGTGTTTCACTTTCTCCAGCACCACCTCTGGAAGTGTGTTACTGTGGTGCACAGAAGATGCGAGGCTCTCGAGCGGTGGGGGAAACACCCCAAGTGGAATTGCAGCATCTTTAAAAGGTGGCAAAGCAGCGATCCCCAACCTGGATGCCCTTTGGGCGGGTGGCGTTGAACTCCCATGCTGCTCTAGCCATCATAGCAACCTGAAGGATTATGGACGTTGTGGTCCCAGCACATTTGGAGGTTGCGAGGTTGGAGAAGGTTGCGAAGAAGTCACACGGAGAAGGAGGCGAAGACCAGCTTCTGGTCTATCCAGTGCGCCGCCAGCCGCCTCCCTCTGCAGAACAAAATCGCCCGAGTGATAAGTTGTGCCCTTGTTCTCCCAGCTCAATCAGTATTCTTCCAACAGGACGCAGACCGGAAAGAAGAGGAGGAACGGGAGGGGGAGCCTTTGTTCACCTCCTAGCTCAGAGGACTTTGACTATACATACTTGTTCCCTTCCGACCAGCAGCAGCGATGGCGTAACTGGCGAGGGGCCACAAAGGCGGAAGCACTTTGAAGGATAAAAATGAAACCAACAAACCCATGCCTGCTTTATCCTTGACTTTTCAGACCAAGGTGAAAGGACAGGGGGGTTGGATGAGAGGGAGGATGAGGCTCATAGTTCAGACCTCATAGTTCAGCAGTGCCCTTCTCTCCACCTATTTTGCTCAGCAAGCCTTACTAAGAAAACCCGAACATCTAAGCATATCCCATGACCCCAGCGCTGCGCAGACAACACCATAAACCATTTTACTAGTGATGACTACTGACAACAGAGATGTTTCTTCTGTTGCCTGATTTAATGGACTAGGCCTGGGGAGGGGAGAGGGGCGCACGTCTGGGGGATTATACTCTGGAATCTGGAATTACAAAGTGGAATCTGGGCCACTTTGTAAAAGACAACTACAGAGTCCTGTCTTATGCAGAATAAGTATGTACTGTATTTTTTGCTCTATAAGACGCACTTTTTCCCCCTCAAAAGGGGAAATGTCTGTGCGTCTTATAGGGCGAATGTGTGTGTGCCCAACACCCAGGACGCTGCCGGCCGGCCTGCACCATGTGGCACCACCTGGCCGGCACCCGCTGGGCGCACCCTGCTCCACCCCCCTCCTCCGGTGCAGGTGAGAGCTGTTAATCACAGGTCAGTGTGTGTTTTCAAATGGCAACCGTCTTTTAATGAAGCCCATGGGGAAGTGATGGGGAATGTGCCTGTGATTATCAGGAAGCTTTCCATGGATCAGTTATCTGTTAGTTGATCAGACACATTTTTTTAGGATCAGTGGATATTTGAACAGCATTACCTTCGTGTACAAAGTTTATTCTTCAAAGGCTGCTTAGTCCGCTGTGTGTTTGATTTACCGTACAATATCTCATTTTTTGTCAGAAGTTTTTTTCTATTATTTACTAGTAGGGCAGCGTGGACATTACTGGTTTTTTTAGATTTGTTATTGAATTGTCTGCAGCAGCTCTTGTATAACTGGATTCCTTCAATAATTCCACTACTAAGAAAGTGATGTCAGTGATTGTGAGCAACAGAGCTTCATAAATTCTGACTCTAGTGATGATGAGTTCTATGGGTTCAATGAAAACTAGAAGAGTACTCAAACTTTAAAGTCTTTCTTTTGTTAATGACAGTGATGATGGTTCTTAATGCCACTGTCGACTGCTGTTCACTTTACAAGGTTGAAATACGGTATTACTGTATTCTGTTATAGTTTATTAAATAGTTTAGTAAACCATTTGATTCAGAGTATTTTTTTCCTTGTTTTCCTCCTCTAAAAACTAGGTGCATCTTATGGTCAGGTGCATCTTATAGAGCGAAAAATACGGTATGTAGTTACTACAAGTTTTTAAAAAGTAGTATCACATTTTCTATTTGTATGTTCATCTCCAAGCACAGGGGAATGCGTATATTCATGCGAATGTAGCAGAAGGGTGTGCACCCTACTGGAACAACAGAATCCCAATACTACTATCCATCATGTCTACTCAGTTTCTGGAAGTATTTCATGTGCCATTGATTTTTTTGGTCCATTCTAAGCATATCACCACTGTTCTTATTACCATAAGCAGAACAAACTTCACAGCACACCCTATGGCAGGCATTTCCACGCTGTTTAGGCCAGCATTTAGAATCTTCAATGTGCTGTCATGAGTGTTTCACAAAATGGCTGCCTAAGTAGGTGTGTCCAGTTACAAAAAAAATATTTCCCAATGGTCCAAGTGCTGAGGCTAAAAGAAAAGAAATATAAAGTAGAAACAGGGTTTGATCTCTTGCACATGAAACCACTGCTTTGCACCCACAATCAGGAGTCAATGGGAAGTACTGGTTACAGTTTTGGATTGGGTCTCAGGAGTGTCCTAGTTTCCACTCAGCCATGCAACTAGTTGATTTTGGCTCAAAGATGCAGACAAGCTCAACCTAAACTACCTCACAGGGTTGCTGTGATGATAAAAATGGGAAAGGGGAGGAGAATTATGAGTCACCTTGGGTTCCTTGCCAGAAAAAGGAAAGATTATAAATACATTTTCTGATCCAAACTTGTTCTCCTGTGCCCTGGACATTCCATAGTCTCCTTAGAAGGTACCAAAACAAAAAACATTATCTATTTGGAGTTCTCTTCCTGCCACCTCAACTTACCTTTTTCTTCTTTCTGGGTGGCTCAGCATTTTTTAAAACATAGGTCTGGGAAGCAACTACCTGTCCTTATTTTCTAAGAATGCTTTTGCAGCTCATGCAGAGCTCAAAAGCATTCTTGGAAATAAAGATGATGCTAAAGGAACAATGCCAGCCTCTAATTACAAGAAAGAATTTAATGGTTAAATATTAAAAATGAAAATCAGTGGGGCTAAGGAGTATAGTAGGCACCTAGGGAGATGTTTGGTGGTCAACCCATCCATATTGGAACAAGTCCTATGTATTAAAGAGAAATGAAATAAATAGTAATAATTTCACTCAACACTGGTTAAGTCTCATCTGGAGTAGTGTGTTCAGTTCTGGTCACCACAGTTTAAGAAAGATGCAGACAAGCTGGAAAGGGTTCAGAGGAGGGCAACAAGGAAGATTGAGGGACTGGAAACAAAGCCCTGTGAACAGAGATCAAAAGAACTGAGCAGGTTTAGCCTCAAGAAGAGAAGACTGAGGGGCGATATGATAGCACTCTACAAGTACTTGAAAGGCTGTCACAAAGAGGAAGGCCAGAATCTCTTCTCAATCATCCCAAAGTGCAGGATACAGAATAATGGACTCAAACTACAGGAAGTCAAATTCCAGCTAGATGAGGAAAAATTTCCTGTTAAGAGCAGTACAATAGAACGAATTTCCTAGGGAGGTCATGGACTCACCCACAGTAGAGGCTTTTAAGATGCAGCTGGATGGTCATCTGAGAGGAATGGTTTAATTTGGAGTCCTGCACTAAACAGGGGGTTGAACCTGATGGCCCCTTCCAATTTTACTATTCTATGATTCTAATAATAATGCTTATTGTGACAGTAAGATAAAGGTTAAGGTTCCCCCGCACGTATGTGCTAGTTGTGTCTGACTCTGAGGCTAGTGCTCATCTCAGTTTGTAAGCCAAAGAACCAGTACTGTCTAGAGAGACTTCTGTGGTCATGTGGCCAGCATGACTAGATGCCGACATGCACAGAACGCTGTTACCTTTCCCACTGAAGTGGTACCTATTTATCTATTCTGAAGAGAAGAGCTGGGAGAGGCAAGAGCTGAGACAAAGCAGTAGACACTCACTGTGCAGATTCGAACTGCTAACCTTCCAATGAACAGTCCAGAAGCTCAACAGTTTAACCCTCTGTGCCACCTGCATCCCTATTGTGAGAGTACTTTTGTCCATATATTTTATTGTTGGAGGGAGGATAATGCAATTAATACCATTTTAGGGAATTTAATTTGCAGCAGAGTTTATTAGGGCTGAACCCAACACCTGCTTTTAGTAGCAGGGTTCAACCCAGAGATATGAAAAAAAGCCCAAAACTGAACACGGGAAACTATCTTCCTTGAATAACCTTAAGTGAGTCCCAATACATGTAAGATGAAACATGAAGGCATAGCATCCAAATTTGAGCCCCAGTATTTAGCTCTTTAGGAAAGCAGTATTTTTCCTCAAGGTCATGTATATGATTCATGTATCATATTCCACCCCAACTACAGAATTACAGCATAAAATCATCTGAAAGACATCAACAGGTAGAGAGAAAGCATTTGCATTTTGCATATGAACTGTAGTTCCTGTTTGCAAATGAACTATTGCACATTGGCATTTCCCCAATGGCATCTCTAGCCCAGATATCCCTTCCACTATCACACTTATGCCTCCTTTTATTTCTTTTATTGGAAGAACATTTCACATGACCAGTGCTATCAAGGTAACAGGTACTTTGCTTTTTGTGGTGTGTGATTTTCAGTAGCAGAGTTTTCAGTATAAACACATACATGGAGTGACTTCTTGAGAAATTGTAGCTCACCATATATGCTTGCTGCCCTGTGATTAAACAGTTTGCAGATCATGGCAGAACCAGACCTGGGGCTGTGTGGGCCATCTTGTGTGGAGCCTATGTGTCACAGGAGTCTAACAATGATGACAGAGATCATGCTTAAGGTTATGCTGTGAACAGAGAGACATGAAGATAGGGTGACTGATCTGTTACCCTGCTCTTCTTTTCCTAGCATACAACTCTAGGGCAAACATGATTTTACTATGCTTAATAAATTTATGCTGATCAAAATTAAAAGCAGACCTAAGGATTTAAGGAAAGACAGGGTGTACAATGAGACAAGCTTGCCTGTCATTGTGGAGAATCACAAAAAAGGTCAAAGAAACATCCCATTCTTAGGGAACTGGGGGGGAGGGGATTTTTTATTTTCAACCAGTATGGACATCCTGTAAATAAGCAATTAAAATTAATATCTAGGGTACAATTAGGGCTGCTCAAAAGATGTAAAACACTGAAAGAACTTTCAATTTCCTATTGTACATAATGGAAGCAATGATAGTCGGGAGGGAACATAATGAAACAAGTCCAACATGACAGACCGCTACACTGCAATTGCTTTAGGCTTTCCAATAGTATATAGGCAGGGGCCGGTCAGACTCTTTAGAGCACAAGTTGTTTTGACAATGACTTGCCCTTTTTATTTCTGCAAACACTATATTAAGCAAACCTAAGAGGCAACAATGGGAAGTTGCATGAATTGATCCCCACATGATGCATATGTAATCGAGGCTGAGAAGCAAGACTGAGACACCCTTGTTTGAGCTGACAGCAACACTGTCCCACAGCCCACAATTTAAAATACTATCCCCATTAATTTATTTCCACTTCAGATTAGGGGCTGATTTTTCCCCATAGCCTTCTACAATGGAAGACAGTTTCTGCATTTATTGTAGTCTTTTTGTACTCAAAAATGAAGCCAATATTTGCGTCTCTATGTATAAAAATACCTTAACAATGGACTTCACATGCAGCAACTATACATGTTTTTATATATGATGATTTATCATCTTGGAGCATTTGTCTACCTCATTATATTCTAATTTAAGTGCAGCAGCTTTCCTGAGTCTCAGCTGAGTTCTTTCCCAAGGCAAAGACTGCATTCATCTACTACTGGTGTATTTTAAACAGAGATGCCAGGGATTGAATCTGAGCACATGACACCAAGTGTCAAAATACAACCTGTATGACATGCAAAGAAAAATCCTAATAAGATATTCCACAGCACCATCACCCTACATACAACTTAGAACAAACTGTTGCAAGTAATTTAGAAGGCAGTGCATGTCAGATCCATTTTTCCCAGAAATACCTTAGCTAACATAATCAAACTTGAGCAGTCTGTGTACCATAGCTTTCATCAGGTTTGTGAGTATTTGTGGTATGACCTTATGGCTGTGCTATGTGCCTTTTTTCACAAGACCTGAGTAAATTATAAAGACTGCTCTGCCCATTCTGAAGGTACTGCTATAAAAGGAAAAATGCTTCAAATTCACACCCCAAAGCAACAAGTTGTAGCAACTGTGAGGTATAGTCAGTAATTTGTGGGAAGGGTTGTAAATATGAGTCCACGCAAATGCAGCCGAACTATAAAATACTGCAACATTGGTAATACAATTCTGTTTCTCACTAGTTTGGCTTTAAGTGGGGGGGGGGGGAGTTGGCTATCCTTTGGACTGCAAATAGAACACTGAAGCTATGGAAACCAAAGAATGACCAGTGGCACAGTTCTATGCCCCACACCCTTGATGGAGGTTGTCTCTGAAGATGGAGGCTTACCTGCAGCCTATGCCCAGAATGGGATAAAGTGGCAGCCATCTCTGTTGTTATCAGACATTTGATATAGACATGTTTTTGACCATCTATACAAAGTGCCAGAAAAGGAGGTGACTTGGATGCCAGTAAGAATCAATGCCAAGCCCTTGGCTACAGCCTTCTCCCCTATGTGACCCCTGGATATGACCCCTTTGAGGCCCAGTTATGACTTCAGCAGAGGAGCCAACATGGTTCTTTTCATACTTGCTGCAAAGGGGACAGGGCAGGGAATCAATTTGTGGAATCTCAGCTCCAAGATGACAGAACTGAGCTGGGACTCTGAATAATCCTATGCCATCCCAGACAATGTTGAAATACTGTAAGACTGTGCCTTATATAAAATTCCTAGGAGTTGGCCATAGCTTTCATCCTTCTTTGCTCCCCACCCCCAAAACTAGAAGAAGCACAAATATTATCCATCTGCTTAAAATTGTATATGCACAACAGAATTCAACTTCCATGGCACACAGAGGTTTTTTTTAAGGCCTGGAGGAATGTTATCCATGGGGTCACAATGGGTCAGATGTGACTTTGGAACTAACAACAACATACCTGCAAAACAAGATAGAGCAGGAAATTCTGGGAATAATCATGTTTATATACAATCAAAGACTCCCCTTTCATTTGCAGATCCAGTTAACTCTCAACATCTTTAGACAGCTTGACTTGCTGGGAGTTGTAAGACACTCGTAAGCATGTATAGGTTTGCACTTTTAAAGAACACACATCCACAAACACACACGCTCGTTATAGAAATACAAACTACAGTTATATATTCATGTCTTTCTTTACTATGACTGCACCTGCCTAACAGAGAAAATTTGTATTATGTAACGGCTTGGGTATTTGGGGTGAAGGAGAGGATCTATTCTTAATACCTGGAGAGTCTACAGCTCTTCTATCTTGAATAATGTTGTAACAAAATTATTCTATAGTACATATCTAGAGCCAATTACATTAACACCAGATACACATTTGCAGTTTCAGAAATTTATTCAAATGCTAAGATAAATGATTTTGTAGCTATTCAAAGTAAGAAATAGTATGTTCATACCACTTTAAAACATTATGCTATGAGCATCAATCATAACACTAACAAATGCATCCTTATTTTGCTGGCTTTTGTTCCTCTCTGCTGCTCCAAAGGCAGTACTCATCTATACTCTGAATGGTATTCCTGTAACTGTGATGTGGGGGAAGGGAGAAATTGGGACTTGAGATACCATAACTTTTCTCCTTTGAGCCTTGTCTCTTCACCAGCATAATATACAAATTGGAGTTTGCTATCCAGAAAATGTGAAATAGTACCCAGCAGAAGTGAGCCCAGTGTGACACAATCAACTTGGTATTTAAAAATAGTATAGTTGTGGGTCCTATTTTTCATGCAATACTGCAAACTGGATAAATGAACTTAACAGTCCTCATGGAAATGCGTTTCTCTAAGAACTTAAACTAGCAAACATTGTCACAGGTAAGGAAAAAAAACACACTTGACTTATCTATATCCCTCATGAACAAGAAGGTCAATTTAGTTTCCAAATGAAGTCGTATTTCTTCAGTACTAAAAACTGAACAGTAGATAGGAGCTGAAAGATCAACAATTTTGTTTTCAAATTGTGCTATTCATTCTAAAATACAATAACATATCAGTTTAGAGCTTGCTGAGCTCTCTAACCTAAGTTTAATAGACTTGCAGATTTCCATTTTCTACACAACAATAAAGCACAACACTGCTTTCATAACAGAATGATCAAATCTCTTCCTTTAAAATAAGAACAAAATTGGCAGCACTGAAGCAATGCACAGACATGTATGATTGGACAAGGGAGATTATACAAGTAAGCAGGACAAATCACCTTCACACATTCATTCATATGGTAATGCCTGTGGCAATTCTGGACTTGTTTCCACAACTGGTTCCTCCTTGGTATCATTGTTTTCAGCTGTTACCATTTCAGAGGATTTCTCTTCTCCTGCCTCCACATGCTGTTGTTCCTCCACTTGTTCTTCTGCTGCATTCTCTTCAGGATTTCCTTGAGGAAGGGTAGAGCATTTTTCTGTCATTCCTACTGCCTCTGTTCTCTCTTCTGCCTGTTGCTCCTCCTCCTCTACAGGTTCATCTTTAGAAAAACCTGCAGTAGAGCAGGCAATCTCATCTCCTTCTGGTTTAGAAGTTTCACTGACTTCAGTGGCTTCAACTTCATCCTCAGTATTCTCTTTCTGCTCTACAGTAGCACTTTCAGTAGCTGTTTCACAATCTGCCCCCTCTATGGCTTCAGATTCATCAACATCTTGGTCAATGTTTTCATCTGTAAATGGGTCGTCACCCTGATAAGGGAGGAAGCACATTATCAGCATTGCAGAATTACCTGAATCTCTTTTAGAAAGCCTGAGACCTAGAATGCAGAAGTTGCAATTGAGTGATTGAAAATTGAGCATCCCTCACTTCAAAGCCAAGCAGTACCAATTCCTCTATTGCCTCAAACTACTTAAGTAAACTGGTTATAGCTTCACTTCTTTACCTGCCAGCATCCTAAATCCTATGGCACTATCTGAAAGCTGGCAAAATCTGTGCCTCATAGAAGAAAATGGAACACATTTTTTGTTGCAGTATGTCCATTGTAGCTTCAGGGAGGGGAAATTCTACAATAGGAAAATGAAATAAATCTTGATCAAATGCAGTACCTGTGACCTAAGAAGACTGTTTATTTTTCACAACTTCCCTTTGAGCACTTAGGTTAGTGGCAGGAACTGCCACCTTCAGGAAATGCCCAGTTATCTCAGCAGCTAAGATGTATTCAGTTCTCTCACCACCCTATTGCAGTATTGGCAAAATCCAGATGTTGACAGACTGCTATAAACCAATGATGGGTACTCACACATTTTGGTGATTGCATTAACAAGACAACTTTATTTTAAAAAAATCTATATGGTAACTATCCTGGGAATTGTTTCTTCAGAAAATATTTTTATTCAGGCTGTGGACAAGGGCTTACTTACCACTGCCCACGATAGGGACAGTGATCTGTTTCAGCTCTGGCTGGGGTTTCTCTTCTCTCTTAAAGGCATCCATATGAAAACAGCAGACACACCAGTGCCGCTCTGCTGGCTCTCAAACTACCTGTTCTGTATGATGACTGTTTAAAGCTATTCCCCAACTCTTGGCTGCCTGCAGATCACTCAAGCATAACTGACCTTCAACAAACATAAGAATTCCTCGGGGAGAAATTTAGCCCATCATCTGATGAACTGCTAGTAATGATTTTTGAAATGTTCATGAGGCACAGGAGGTCCTCTTCCTATATCCATGGAGTCCCACCCACACACACCAGGCTGGATAGCTCAGTCAAGGATTTCTGTACCCGGAAACTTAGTATTTCTGTTTTATGACCCAGCTGGATCAAATTCAGACCAGACTAACTGCCTCCATGAAAGGTGATCCATGCAGATGAAAGACAAGTAGTGTCATCTTCTCTGGCTGAAAATCAGCCAATCAGCTTTATGTACTGATGTTCCGGCGTTTCAGAGAGCTCTAGGCTCTACACTGCGATTTGGATGTGTCCATTAATCGCTAGTAAAAAAAAGGGGGCGAATTCAAAGTCCCCAACTGGTGGAGACTGTCACAAGCTTCCTCAGGAAGGGCAAGGTGCCAGCATCCTTTTTGGGAGGAAGCTTCAGGCCAGTGTTCAAGAATCATATCTTGATGCCAACAGTCTCACCCTGCCTTCAGCCTTCCTTTCTTGGGGAAGGTGCTGAGAAGATTTTTTGATGGGGCAGCTCTGGCATTACCTGGAATCCTCAGATTTCCTTCACCCCTTTCAGCTTGGTTTTGCACCTGGGTATGGTACGGAGACTGTGCTGGGTGGGTCGAAGATCTCCTCCTGATGATGGACAAAGGTCAGGTGTCCATGCTGATTCTGTTAGACCTGTCGGCAGCCTTTGATACTGTTGATCATGAGGTGTTGCTGAGGCACCTGCGGACCCTAGCAGGGGTAGACGGAGTTGCGCTTGAGTGGATCCATTTTTTCCTCCGAGAGATCCCAGAGGGTGGCACTGGGCAACTGCTCATCTGCCCCAAGGGCTCTCTCATGTGAGCTACCGCAGGGTTCATTCTGTCACCCCTCTTGTTCAACGTGTATGAGAGGCCGCTAGGGGAAGACAGCCTCAGTATATAGGCCATCAGTGCCAACAACAGGCTGATATTCTCAGCTCAAAGTCTTTCACTGGACCCAGAGAGCGGAGTCTCAGTTTTGCTAGTGTCTGCCTAGCAGAGACTAGGTACTTGGCAGATGGTCAATGGAGAAGACCAAAGTGTTGCCAGAGGAGCAGGGGGACATATAAGAGGAGACGGTAGATGCAAGATCTGCTCTCCCATTAGGCATGTGAGCCCCAAAATGGTCCTGTTGAATCTTGGGTTGCTCCTGGATTCCCAGGGCACAGTAGCAGCCAAACTTGTTTCTTTTCATCTTCACCTGGTCAGATGGTTGCAATCTTTCCTCTCAGAAGCAGAACTCACCAATTACCCATGGCCATGTATCCTACATGAGCAAGCTCTTCATGGTCACACTGAAGTGTCCATACGACCTGAAAAGGCTGATCTAGGCTGGCATTGTTCCCGACATGGGCTTCTTACACCCCTACTTTTCAGTTCTCAACAGGGAAAAATCCTAGCTTGACCTACACAGCAACACCCAAGTATGTTGGCGGCCCTGACTCACCTCATGCACGCTAAAAGTTGTAGTCAGCTCAGCTGATATTAACCATCTCCCACAAGTAATATTTGGGCAAAACAACAGGGACTAACATTAAGTGCTGTGATACCAAAATGTTGTTCCCAGGTTGATTATAAACAAACAAACAGAACTGCCAACTTGCTAGGGAAATCAAAGCAGAGCCTACCTTTTCACTCAAGAGAAAGTCCACCCCATGCTGAGAGCAAAAGCACAATGCTTTATCCATTTAACAATCAGTTAAATTTCAAGCAATGCTTAAGGTTAGGACAATGCTCCACTCAACAGAGTATTTTATTGTACTGTTTCCAGAGAATAGTCTTGAGGACAATCACATTTCTTCTGCAAATATGTCAGATTCAGAGCTTTCCCCACTATATAAACAGCTACAGATTTCTTATATACAGTCTGCAAGCGTGAGTATTTAACCACCTGGATGAACTGCTCAAAGGTACACATGACTCTAGACTCAGACTATGCATAAGAAAGTGAAGCAATAACTTTGCTTCCCTCCATCTTAAGTGAAGGTCACATGCAGCACACTCAACACTATTAGTGCAATGCTCATTCAGGAACAAGCTGGAGCTCCTGCTCTCTTGCTCTGTGAAAAAATGGGATTCAGCAGCAAACACCCTGCTTACTTACCTTGAGGTACTTTTCTAGCATTTTCACTATGTGCTTGCTATTAAGGACACTTTTAGCTACATGGAAACTAGCCTTCTTGAAATGTTCAGCTGCCATCTGAAAAAAGTAGATATATAGGTCATTATGATGATTAAATACATAATAAAACATGGATCTGATGCAGAATGCTACATTCCTGACTACCTCTCTTCCTATCTCAAGGCATTATCCCAGTGCCAACTGGCGCTCATGGCCCTAAAAAAATGCGAATACTTAGGAGTAAAAGTAACCTATAAAAATCTCATCACAGACTTCTTGGTAAAGTTTTTGCCTGTGTGTCTTCAAATTACATGGGGGAGGGGGTGGATCCAGAGTTCTTTTGAGTTCTCTATTCAGAGGACACACCTACAAGAAAAAGAGGGGGGAGAAGAAGGCAATCTTTGATTATTACTGGTGCAACTACAAGTACCCCAAGGAATCCTCTGGAAGAATGGGAAGTTGCTGGTGGCAAAAATTAGGCAAAAATACCTTTCCTCCCTTCCTCCTGCAGAAGCCTCTGCTGGATCTCAGTATTTTCATTAATTAAAAGAGCTCTTCCATTCACAAAGGGCAATTCTAGGGCCAATGCATGATCATAAAAATGAAGAAGTGTTTACAGAAAATGAATCTAGAATAAAAACTGAAATATGCTTGCATGAAGCAATAGATTTTGTATGCTATCGAAGTGTATTCCACTATCAGTAAAAACAAAGCTGATACAGTGTTTTCTATAGTACTTGTTTATATAGTCAATTTTATTCATATAAATATTTCATAGAGGAAGCATCAATCCCTATTGCTTATGAACAAAGAAGAAACTCCCCCCATATATTATACTGGATCTCATTCTTCTTCAATGTGTCAACATTTCAGTTGTAATAACAAAGCAAGTTATACATGTGTCTCTGAAACATGAAAGTACAATTATTAAAGCATCCATGTTAAGTACTCGTGTTTTCTATCAAAGAAAAATGAGGAAAAATTCTTGGCACTTGCACAGGCAGAAAATCTTATATGGTGGCAGGAAACCTCTCAGAAAACACGAGGTATCAGAAAACAAGTATAGGAACTTTACTTATACCTCATATAAGTTATCTTATTTATGAAACATGGTATGGGTTTAGGTCTCAGACTGCTGATTCCCATAAACTACTGGCACTGATTAAAAGTTCAGTGCTCAAAGAAAACTGTTGAGTGGTACCTACCTTTAAAATGTCTGACTTTTCTGCCATGTTTATTTTTGGTGTGGATAAGAAGATGTAGAAACAATCCTACAAGTTGAGCTTCTCCATAATTGATAACCAGAAATCACACTTAATTGTTCTTTTTATACAATGAAATAACTCCTGGATTAAGTCAACTATTCTATCCCAGAGATGAGAGCATTTCTTAACAACCAAGTTCACAATTTCTTCATATATGAATACTTAACTATAAAGAGACAAATGCCAGACTGGATGTGGGGATACAGTATGCAGTATCAATCTAAGAATTAGTAAAGCTGCTGTCCTAAATATAATTTCTAAGAAGTAAGATCCACTGAAGTTTATGTGATTTATTTCTGAGTAAAAATGCAAAGGACTTCACTGTTAGATGGTCATTGTCTAGAATTATTTTCACCACCCAGAAGATACAAATATTACTTACCCTGCGGTTCCTGTTATGATCAATCGACCTCAGGTGTCTCTGAAGAAGATGCTGCTGTGCAGGAATTAGCATGTCACAAGCAATACAGTGAGCTGCTTCGATCTTTTTAAAAAAGTGTTCCTGACCAATTCCTGAAAAATACTAATGAGGATTAGATATTGTCCACAACAGTTGACATAAACAGTTCTAACTCCATTTTCCACTAATAGCCAAGAACGCCGGGAGTTAAGTTTCATATATAGAACCAAGTGGAACATAGTCAGATGTCCAGTCACAAGCAACTTAGCTAAAGGAAAGTTGCTAGAACAGTAGAAACCTGCAGTGCTATCCAACCCTGTTTCTTGTACAGCCTCAAGATGATTTATGAAAGTTCTAGTTTAAATAAATAACTAGAAGACCACACTCCTGGACCTGTGAAAATGGATGGAATGTCAATATGCAGTCCTATGAGTTCTTCAGAAATTTTTGAACTAGAAACTTCCAAGAAAACAGTCCTATAAAGATTATTAATCAAATGGAATGAACTTCTGTACAATGCCCTGAATTAATGAAAAGCGCAATACATCTATGCAAAATATACAAAGCAGCTGTTAAGAGATGCCTATATCTTACCCCATTCTGTCCAACCTCTGCTGTCCTTCTCAAACAGTAACACATTTTACCCCCTTCCTCCATGGTGCCTCTTTAGAGCTTCCTAAAAATAAACTATGATCACTTGCTTTTCTTGTGTCACAGACTACCCAAGTATTACACCTTTTGTGAAATTCAAGAATACTGTAGCACTGTGTACTCTTTATGGTGGTAACTGTGGAATCACTGATAGCCTTCTCCTTTTGATAATGTTCCACTTACCCTTGAAAGGGTCTGGCTTTGGTTTTGTGCCCTCTTTCTCAGTCAGTTCTTGTCGGCGCTTCCCAATCTTCTTATTTCTGTTTACAATATATTTCTGTGGAATGGCAGACAGAAAACCTCCAGTTATGCAAGTCACTAATAAAAGTCTGACAGGAGAATATACTGTTCGTACCACTTGTTACTCTTTAGGCAATAATAATCCCAATTATTGTACAGGAAGTTAACTTTGCCTAGTAGTTGTGCTGATTTTCATAAAATTTACAGATAACATACCTGCAGGAATTCTACAGTCTTGTCAGGGAGTTTGGTCCCAATGTAGCGCAAAACCTCTTTGTGAAATTTGCTTTGCAGATGCTTTTCCATTTCTTCATCATCAAAGCTTCGGAATTTACATACAGAGCAAGCAAACTGGATTCTGAAGGAAGACATTTAGATTGATTTTTATTACATTATTCCAAATCCACTGCTTATAATTTCAACTCTTCTACAAATATAAATAGCATTGGTTCAACTATTCTTACAAAGCCTAAGAAACCATCTTCCATTAACACAATGCCCTTGCCATTTCAAACCAGAAATGTACTGACTGCTATAATAAAATATACAGTTTGATGCATTCACAACTGTAGTCCTAATGTAGTTTCACCCAGAGATTAGTAAAAATTTCAAGATCACTTACTGCTGCTCTAGAAAAAAAGATATCACAGAGCCTATCGATATTTGGATATGGTGGTTGCACAACACCAGGTTGCACCAATTCTTACACTCTCACAACAGAACTTTGCCCATATCATATTTTTAAAAAACAGGCATAATCACAAAACACATCTGAACCTCCACTACATTTTCTTGCACAATTTATGGAAGATCCCCATTGTTCTTTCTGCACAGATAAAAATGGGGAAAATCTTGAAAATCGCTTTTCTCCCAATCCAAGAAATATCTAGAGAGATCACCATTTTCCTACTGCCAATAGAGATAGGAGGAAAAAGTAATGGAAAAACAGATGTCACTGGAGACTACTGATGTTCGGAAAAGCAGTCTCCTATAATCTCTAAATCTCAGCCAGCAGGCAAAATTTAAACCTTTCCATCTTTGCTCATGGAAATGTCTCTCCCTTTGGAGGAGGGGGGAAACTGTGTGTGTACACATCTGCTATAGGGAATACCGACTAGGATGTCCTCAACAATATTAAGTAAAGCCAGTTTTGGTTTAAGTCTATTTACCAAACTTTGGCTACCAGCAATTTAAAATACTGTTCTTAAAATCTATACATCTTTTCAATCATGAAGCTCCAAACCATTTGCATTGGGCGGCTTCAAGTGACATACTAAACCACACTGTGAATAAGCTACTCAGTGTGAATCTTTTTTATCTCCTTCTTCCCCCTTTGTCCTCCACCTGGTATGCCACTATCCTTCGTGGCAGAATCTCTCTTCTCTCCCCATTCCCCGCTCCAAAATCTACCCCTTTTCCTTTGCTGCTTTTCTTATAAGAGCCCTCAAATATATTTAATTGGGTTTCTCCTCCTTTTGGCCCCAGCTAAAAAAAAGTCTTCTCCATTTCTTTGTTTCAGTTGTTAAAAGAAACAGTGAATTGAGTGGGTCACCTACATGGAAATTGATGAAACTGCGTATTGGCTGATTTGAGCAATGTGGCCAACAACCAATTCAGTTACCTTTTCCAGGTTGGGTTGGATTTTTTCTCTTTTTTCTTTGTGGGGGCAGGGGAGAACAGTAATGGAACCACATCAGTTAAGTCCTCCCCACAAAAAGGCTGTGAAAAGGTGGAATGAATCATTATCTTGTATTTCTAGACTAGCAGATGACTTGGTGAGGCATTGGGAAGGTAGAACACACCAAGAACTGTCAGTACAACATTTAACTAGAGGATTGCACTATTAAGCAATAGATACTGTCTCCCTCCCCTTTTAAGTGTCTTAATTAATAACTCAGCAATTCGTCCTTAGCAACTGTCTGCAAATTGATCTGTTTGCCCTGTCAATTTCATTATATATGGGGGGGGGGACCCCCACCAGGAATTATCTTCTAGAGGGCAGGCCCCTTGTAGTTCAGGCTTCTCCTGTTAGGCGAGTGGTCTAGGAACCCATCTGCATAGGTGGACCCAGCTGGGTTGTTGCAAGAGGCTGTGTTCGGCTTCAGTGGGGTTTTTTTGGGAGACTCTTTCAACACCTTTGCCCATTTTGTGATGGCTGATTTACACGAACAACATGTGGCAGTGAAATTTTGTTCAGCTGAGTGTTCAGCAGTATTTGACCAGAAACTGCACGACTCTCGTGCCCTATCCTCCCTATTCACCCAATCGCACCCTGTGCAACTTTTGTTTTCCTGGATGGAAAAGTCCTCAAGGGGAAACGTTTTGCCAATGTGGAAAAGGTGAAACAAAAAACAGTAGAAGCACTAAAAGGCATCAACATCGACAAGTTCAAAACCTGCTTGAGCAATGGAAAAATGTCTCATAGGTGTATTGCATCAAATGGAGAGCACTTTGAAGGTGACTGCAGTCAGAACATGTAAAAATAAATACACATTTTTGTAATAAATTCAGGGGGGGTTTTGGGTTCCCCCTCATATTGCCTATTTCTTCTCTAGGCTTCTGTCCACAGTTGAAACATGCAAGAAAGCATGTACATAGTGGGAAACTATAAGAATGCACTTTGGAAAATAATATTTATGAATTATGAATATATTTGTTGTGGCAGATTTCTTTTTTTTAAAGATGATGAACTAGTGGAGGTTGTACCAAAGGTATGCTTTGGTATTGACAGAGTCTGTCACTGAAGAGCAGTAAGGACAAGAATACAAGGAGTGGCAGTGGTTTTTGCTTGCAAGCCAATCCCCAAAACTGATGATGAAACTGCTCTTCTGGGTTTGGACAACAGACAACCCATCATATATCAAACAATGCCTACAGCAAGTCATTGGTTGTCAGGGTAGCTCACCGTCAAAAAATAAGCCACTTGGGAGTGAGAAAGATGGCTTCTTCGGGTACACTTTTTCAAGAGCTGCTAGCTGGTCTCCAGAAGGATCAGAATCAGGAGGAGGAGGAAAAGAGGCATGGGGGAGGACTGGGGAATGTGTGCCATTCCCAGGCATTGAGATGAGAAAGTAGAGACACTTATCTCAAGGCCAGGCTCCCAAAAAGGGCAGGCAGTCTCTGGGAATAATAAAGATGTAGAGTTGGTAAGCAGGGACTCAGAGCACGGAAGTTTCTCAGACACACCTCCTCTCCCCATGACACATTGTCAGCAGAGCAGGGAGGTCCAAATAAGAGGAGGTGTACCCATTCTAAAAAGGCCCCTCACAAAGTGATGGGAGCCAGGCACACTCATAAGGGGAGTTCCTGAAAAAGAATGCTAGATTGGTTCAATGAACTGCTCTGTGCACACTCAAGAGATTCATTCCAGGTGTTTGTGCATCTGGAAAATGCTTTGGTCAATAAAGAATGCTTTGCAAGAAAAATCTATGACTCTGAATGTGAGAAGGGAGGAACCCTAGCTCACAACACTTGGCAGGAATCACTTTTGAGTATGGATGACATGACAAGTCACCATGGCTAGTACATTTAATGGGTTATTATTGATCTGATTCACATAAAACATCAACTCTAATGCAAGTCCACCTTCCCCAATGTGGCGCTCTCAGATGCTTTGTACTACAACTCACATAATCTATGTCCATTGACTATGCTGGCTGGGGCTGTCCCAGGTACAGCCCTATATATCCAGAGGATAATGTTCTGGGGAACCCTTAACAGCCCATTTTCAGTAGCTTATTTTCTGGGAAGAGACTTGAAGCCACTTAAATGTGTGTAAATGTCATAGCTGTCACATTCTTGGAATTGAGTTTCAGTGTCATTTTCAAGTTATTACTGTTTGAATATAAAAAATGCATCAACACTATTACGAAATGAAATTCTCCAAAGAAAGAGTAATTATTCTCTTTGAGTTCTAAAGCTCCTATTGCAGACAAAACTATAGTTTGGAGACAGTAGTACAATAAAGGCACAACCTAGGTAACTTAACAATCCTACAGACATGGGTCATTATCTACCATTTCTTTCCTGTTGTGTAGAGGTAGATATGATATGGAGCCTAAGAAATAGGAATCGTATCTATGAACCAGGAATGAAGTTAAAATAATCTTTTTAAATATCAAGTATTTTTATAGGCATAAACTGCTTGTAATCTGTTTAGTTACCTGTCCATAGCACGGTCACGCATTCGATCCCTTTGCCTCTGCTTCTCTTTTCTTTGTTTTGTTTCTTCATCATCATCATCACCACAGCCATCACCAGTAGCTATAGAAAGTCATGTTTAATGCAATTTTTAAGAGCCAATGTGCATTTATTTGCTTTAGGATGCCTTCACATGGAAGTATTTAACCTTCTGATCCTACCTTTTCTCTTTCTTTGACCTGCTTTACTCAGGGTCACTTACAGCTGTGATGTGAAGCCCACCAAAAAACACTCTGTCAGTGATGGAGGATATATGATGGAGGATATATCCAAGGGTAATTTAAAGGAAGAGACTTGCAGTATTCCTAAACCAGCATGCATTCATAATCTTGCCATCTCTCATGATACAAATTAATGTTAAAACTCATACAAGGAAAAAGCGCTACCTGAACTATGAGTAACAGTGCTTTTCAACAGCCTCTGTCTAGGAGCTGCAGTGATTAAATCAGCCCTCAAACAGTTCTAATATAGTGCAATGTAGCAAAGTTGGGCTGGGAGAATGGGAAGAGGAAAATCTAGGATCCATATCCCTGCACAGCTATGCAGTTCACTACATTGTCCTGGACAAGTTAGTCTTGCTAATGGATGACCGGAAGTGTACATTTCTCTAAGTACCTTAAAAAGAAATACAGGATAAGAATACAACAAATGGAAACAAAAACCAAAAAATCCCAACACTGTAGTCTCAAAAGAATACCAAATATTGTTTCAGCACAAACACAAACACACAGAGAAGAAATACTTCCAAGATATGCATGAAATACTTAGGTGATATTGAGCACCCTTTCCACTTTTTGCATGGCACTAGATAAAAACCCCAGGAAATACAGATTGATTAGTGGGAAATGATTAACGAGAATGACAAGAGATTCAGCTTAAGTGCAGAGTGATGGATATTGGATTATTTTCATGTTCAGACCCTTTTTGTGAGCTTCCAGAGCCTTTTGTCAGTTGCTCTTAACAGTCCAAATTAAAATAGTCAATTACCAGGGTCTGATGGAGAAAGGCAACTTTTGTGCCCTTACAAGGTACACACTATCTTATTTTCACTTAAGTAGCCTTCTGATAACAGTCATTAACATATTGTTCCACTCAGGCAAATACTCTGTCACTCATTAAGAACTTACATCCTAATGAAGAGGATACATGAATGTACACCAAAGAACTGATATTAACTTTTGATTTAAAGTTAATTTTAGGTTAAACCAAGTGAAGAAAGAGAATATAGACTCACAAAATGAGTTTTACCCTACCTTTTGGTTCACTACCTCCCTCATGCTCCTTTGAAAAAAGAAAGCAAAGAAAGCAAGCAAGCCATTAATACTACATCTAATTTCTGAAAACATGCTGTATTACAACATCAGCAATCCAACATATTCACTATTTTAGCTAATTAGTTCCAAAAATTCCAAACAGCAAAAGTTTTACTCAGACAATATTGGCATCTGACTGCAGTGGATCCTGTTGATTCACTTACAGCCTAAATGTATAAAATTATGTTTATTTAAGCAGGAGTGGTGAATTCCTATGTGGGTTCTCCATCAGGACTACCAACTTCTTCCCCAGACCTTGCCACCTTTCCTCACAGGGAAGGGCACTTAATTTTAACTAGCTACTAATTAGCTATTTCTAATTAGCTGATTGGGGATAAGAACTCTTCCCTAGTTGGAGTTGGGGTGGGGAAGGTCTGGGGAAAAGAAATTGCTTAAGTGAATCAGACATGCATACTTCTGGGCATGGTTCTACTTACTACTCAGCTTTGTACCACTTACTTACAAGTAGACATACTACTCATGTTTACTTCTGAGTAGGCATGCTACCCAAAAATGCTGATTCCTTCTGATTAGACAGGTAAATATCAGTATACCTCTGAATTTACTCAGGGTCAGTTTACCTCTGAATAAGCTTAAATCAGTAATAATCACCTGCACTTTGCATTTGACCCTGCTCACAGATGGAATGTGGCTCTCAAGAACTTTCTCATAATGGAATTTAGCCCTCAGTCCAAAAAAGGTTTCGCACTCTGACGAAAGGCAAATACCAAAACATCTTTAGCTCTTTAAAACCTTTCCTATATTTCCTCCCAACCAACACTGGAAAGTTGTTGCAAATCAAAAGTAAGATATGCAGTCCAAATTTCAAGGAATTGGAAAGCTTGGTCATAAGTTATTTTGGCAATCAAGATATTGATATCAGTAAGTTTCAGAATTCATATGCGCCTTTCTCAATCCCACTTTACAGTGTGTACAATATTTGGTTCCATTAGGAAAATACTGCATTAATGCTATTTCTGATTATCATTTTGTCACTTGGCTGAATGAGAAAGGAGCATGATATGACAATCCATCATGCACAGCTAATTACAATGGGTCTTTGTGTCACGTGAGTCTGGACCTCTTCCTGCAGGGTGGTTTATGTTTTGTGAACAAGGTACCCTGGCATCCCATGGCTTGTTCACAGGGGTGGCTTAGTGTTACATGCCAATCCACCACATTAGTTTAAATAAATGCATTACCACTTGGACAGTACAGTATGTTTCATGTGTATAGAATGTCACATAAATGCCTAAGACTTGAACTCTTGATTCACTAACCAAGTAATTTCTAGTTTGTCCCCATCATGGATTAGCTTTCAACTGCCAGACCATACAGACCTTAAAGACAGGACTGCAATATAAGAACACAGCAACTAGTTTATTTTTTGTGGTGTTAACACTGATAATTTCTTTTCAGTTTTCACTATATTGGAGTTCTTATGAATTAAATGCATTGGAAACAATACTAGAAGAATATCATGGTTTAAGAAAAGAGTTCTGTCTAATGCAACACAAGCCAAGCCAACAAGAATTCCCCTTGCTCTGCTTTGTCTATACACCCAAAATCTTCTCTTGAAGATTCCCCCAATTATTTTTATCCTAGTAAAATAAAACAATTTTTCTAACCCTGGGTTACTGTGAATGTACAAGGAGTAAACAGAACTGTTTCTTGCCTTCTGATCAATCCTACTTGATTGGGTAGAACTAAACATCCCAGGTACATCCCATACCTGGACTGCTAATTGCCACATTGGAACCAAGTATTTTGGGTTGTTTGGGAAAGGAAAGCTAGAATTGTAACCCATAGATTGTTCTTGGGTTACAAATCTCAGTTGTCTTTCCCTGAACAATGCACAATTTCCAGGGTTCTGATATTAGGTTTCTTAGCTCAGCAGCAGGGCAGGAAGCAGAACCACTTTCACTCCCACTCATTCACAACTATCCATGATGTAAACATGGATACAAGATGTAGGTAGTTGTGAGCTCTGAACCAGATCACTGGTCCCATTTTTTTTAATGTAAAGCCTCAAAGACAAGACAGAAAGGAATTAAATTATTATATGAGCTATTTTCACTCTAAGATAAAGCCACTTCAATTTAGTCACCAATGAACCAGAAGGCACACTGGATAAAAAATAGATTAACACAAAGGTGTTGGGAAAAGTTACTTACACCTTTATCTCCATCATCCCCCGATTTGTCCTCTCCTTCGCCATCATCTGTGAAATTCACAAGACATCTTTCAGCTACTGTGGAAAACTACTTTCCTTTGTTGCAGACTAAAACAACTGTGATGTTCTATCATAGTACTACCTTCAGAAAGAAACAGCATTGAAATCAAGAGATTGTTATATAGCAGGGCTGGAGAAAAATTGTGAAGGAAGATGAAGGGGTTTATATATATTGAAGAAAGGATAAATGAGTAATGGTTCAGAAAAACTAGACTGCGGATTGAAAAAAGCAAAGCAGGTATATAAAATGAAATTTTTGAGGAGAAACAGTGAAGGAGAAAAAGCACTGAAGCTCACAAATACATAAAGAACTTCTTGAGGCACCAGAGAAGGCAGTCAAAGAACAACTGAGGGCACAGGTAGGAACTCTTCCTATCTATACTGGTCACCAAGTGGGAGACGGATTCCTGTCAAAGCTATGATGCAGGCAAGAGACCATACTAATGATGCCCAGAGACCACAAAGAAGAACTGAAGGTTACTTGCTTGAATATCATCTCCATCTTACCATGTGGATTCAGGATACAAATTTCTTTGGTAACTGACAGGGTTACAAAGCACTGCATTTTACTCCAGCACTTTAGTGGAAGTCAGTTTATTGAAAAACAAATATACTGGGTTCCTTGCAAAGGAGAAAACAGCCTATTAGGATTCCTGCTTAACTCCTCAGAATAAAAGAAAACCTTTACCATTGTCAGAGTCATCCCTTTCACTTTCTGTCTTTGCTTGTTTGCTGTCTGGTTCTTCTCCACTCTGGGACTGTTTCCGCTTGCGAAATCCACCTTCATTATCTGAACGCCCACCTAGACGACCACGGAAAGCTCTCCTCTTTGGCTAGAAACACAAATGGAAAAAGATATGCTTGACCAGTTTATCAGGAGCAGGATCCTTCACCACAGGATGTTTCAAAGTTTCCTGATATGAATGCACTCTTTAACAAAACCCTGATTGACACTTATCTCCTTAAGTGAAGGATATAGCCTAATAACATGCATGTTCCTCTCCTTACAAATAAGCATTCTTTCATGCAGTGAGTCTCAGTCTCAATGAAACACTTGACACTGTCCCGTCAAGTTAATTTTTCAGTTATTATAACAAAAGCTAAAATATGCTGCTTTTCATTTAACAATAACCTACATAAAAAGATTGGGGCATCTTTTCTCTCTTAATAATCTGATTTACAAAGAGCAACTGCTAATATAGCTGTAACAGTTCCCAGTGTTAGCATGCTAAACTTACTCTGCCACGTGATCTGTTGAAGCCATAAGGCATGTTCCCAGGAAACCTTCCAGTTCCCATTCCCTGCATTCCCATCATGCCATAATCATAATCTTCATAGTTGCCATAGTCTCTGTAGTCACCATAGTCGCCATAGTCGCCATAATCTCTATACTCGGGCATGAGTGCTTGGGAAAAGAGTGATGGAAGCCTGTTAGGCCCAGGCCCCCCCATATTCCTCCCACCCATGTAATTCATCTCATTCCATCGTGTAGATAGCCGTTCTGTACTTGATGGCATGAAGCGGTCGCGACTGAAAGTGTTAGGACGCCCTCGATTCTGGACTCTCCCTCTAACAAAGCCATAGTTGTTTCCTCTGTTACGGGGTTGATCTCTGCGGTTACCAGCAGCATCATAGTGACTTCCAAATGAATCATTCCGATCAGATCCAACTTCGTTATATTCATAGTTAGTTCTGTACAGGTCACGCTCAGGCACTGAGGCGCGTGAATCATAGGACTCAAAAGACTCAAATCTGAAAGAGCTGCATCACAAGCAAAGAATCCAGTCAGTAGTTAGAGAGCTTAATTAGTAGCCTGAAAAGAGACTTGACAGAGCTTATTTATATCCCAGAGCTTATCTCAAACAGCCAATAGGTTTTGAAAAGTGGAGTACATATTTGCATGCTTAAGATCCCTTAGCATCTCCAGTTAAAAGGATTTCAAGCAGCAGAGCTGGGAATGACCCCTGCCCAAGAGTCTGGGACAATATGGCAGATTGATAACACTTGGCTAAACAGAGTAATGGCATGATTCTGTTTAAGATCATACTTTCAGTGATAGTTTCATATATTCAGTGTATTGGAAATTAGAAGCAATATACCCTTCAAGAAAAGAAGGAAATCTTTAAGAAATCTGTTATAAAGCTTTCCTTCCTAAGCTGCCAAATGAAAGGAATATTTAAATTCTGAATGCCATCTTCTATGAGAATTCAGGTAGCAAAGATAAGACTGGCTGGTTCAGATGAAAAGGCTATATTACTTAATATATAAAGAAAAGCACAAATATGAGATCCTTGTCTTAAAGTATCATTATAACAGTGTATCTTATTATGCATGAATAAAAAGCCATTTGAAACTTTACTAATATACATTCCAGTGAATCAAGATGACTATTTTGAGCTATTCGGTATATACAAAAAATGCATACTATCCTATCAGTTCGAGCATTTTAAGAATTCACGTTCAAATGAAATCTAAAATGGATTGTAGACAAAGAAACTGAAATCACCTTCCCTGATCTTCCATGCTTTCCCCAGCACCGCCACTGCTTTCCTTTGACAGCATATCCAGACGCTGGTTTATTTTTGCTATAATTGAGTCGGAGTTTTCTGTGCCCACTGCTCCAGTATTGTAATTGACAACTGGCATACTAGTGCCCATATCAGTACTCATTGACATGTTGGTAGTTTTTGAAGTGTCCCAAGTGGTTGCGGCAACAGCAGAAGCATCATAGTTGTAAGCAGGGGCTGTAGCAGAATTGCCAGTTTGAGCACCATAATAATCATAGCCTTCATATCCTGGGAAAAAGGGCAAGTAACATTATCAACAAATCTGTCCAAGGTCTTGAGTTTTCACATTTCCACCAGATGAAAAACATCTCCAAATTAAAAAAAGAAATACAAAGCTGCTAAACAGTGTCAGACATAAATCTTTCTTATGCTCCCACTGTCCACTTCTATAAAAATTAGTTGAGGGTTACTGTTTCAATAATGTGCCTGCTCTAATAATATTGAAATAAGCGATTAACATTTTTGGTTCTTTAATTATGATTGTGTTTTTCCTCCATAAAAGCCCATTTAACCCACCTCAGTTCCTTGAAATATGGGCACAATATAAATTATTTTTTAAAAAGTACTATGTCACACATTTTATAGTATACTACAAGAGTGCCCATGCAAAAAAATGTTAATAATGCTAGGGAAAGTTGAAGGCAGAAGGAGGAGGGGGGGAATGAGCTATAAGGTAGAAAGATTCTATAAAGGAGCCCACAGCATTGAAGCTACAGTACGGCCAACAAGGACAGGCCATTTTGGAGGATATTCATTCACTGGGTTGCCATAAGCTGGGAATGGTTCAATGGCACCTAACAACCAAAACATACCTCTGGAGCGCATGCTGTACCCAAGTCTGTGGTTGAGAGGTCTGTTAGTTCAAGATTAATAGAAGCAGTTTTCCTTTTGTGCAGTAAAACCTTAAAGTCCTCTTATGAAGATGAAAGTATGTCTTCTCGATAGACTATGATTTTGGTTTCCCCAGGAAAGCTATAGGTCACCTCTTCGCTCTTTAACCCAGTTCTCTGCCGATTCCATCTGCCACTCATTCAGGCTTTTATACCCCCCTTTCCTTTGCTTTTGCCTCCAGCTTTCTCCTTCTCTCACTTTGTAACATTTTGCTTCATGTCCCTCTTGAATGTTGCTTTATCTGTCCCCTTTTCAACTCAATTACAACAATATGAAAACCTTGGATTTCAGTTGATTTCTGTGAGCAGTTCTTACTTCTATTGCTGGCAATATTTAAAAACAGCTATTTAATATGAACCTTAAGTGACCTATCTATACAAAGATAGTTCTCTTTGGGGGTTTTTAAATCTTTATGGGGCTTTTTAATTATGTGACTCTTCCTCCTCTTTTCTCATCTGTTCCTCCAATTCCTTGGAGAGAGGAAAAGAAAAATGAGGGAGAAAATGGTGAGAAAGAGAAAAAAAGAAAGAGGAACAGAGGAACAGATAGAAAGACAACCATCTACCTTCCATTCTCTTCTTTACCCATTCTGATTTTCTTGTCCTTTTTTACTAGTTTTTCTTGCTCACCTATCAGTTCATCAGTGGCATTTTGAACCTCTTAGGTAGCCATGGTCATGCTACCTCTTCCACAAACACTTCCATTCTACTGGTTTTCTTTTCCAACTAACTCAACTTTCTGCAACTACTGAACATGTAGACTTTTTGGAAGAAGGATTACTCCTCTAGGTTTTATTACTGGAGGTTAGGTTTATATTTCTGCAAATCTCTGGGTTACTCCACTTTTCTCTTTTGCTATCCAGTGACTCCATTTGGCTACAAAATTGTTGACACTCTGGAACCTAGTTCAGCATTAGAAGGGGCAATATAAATTCAGCTACTAGTTTATTTAGAAAGCCCCTGCAATTTCAGGTTAATTTGACAAAACCTAGTACAGTGTTCAACATTGTATTTTTGCACTGAAAAGTAAAATTTCAAATGAGGCAAGAATACCTCAAAATACATACCTTGCCAACTTGCAGGATCTGTGGCATAAGCGCCTTTGTAGAACACAAGGAGACAAAAGGTTTTTTACATTAAATATATCTATCATGGTATTGTTAATACAGCCAAGAAAACTAAGGTTATTTCTCTTTATTTTCACAAGCAAGTACTTCAATATAAGCAAGTTATATCATTTATACTTGCCTTTTCTGTAGTTACCACCTGAGGATTGTCATATAAGTTCTTTCAAAGCAATATAGTGGGCTGTTCTGCATGTCACAGTAAGTCAGAATTCTTGAGATTTCTACATTACTGGTTAAAATTCTTAGCTTATGATTCTGGCTTGTTAGGAGAAGAGTAAGCCAGAAATTCTTTTTCATATTAATGCTAAAGTAACCACAGACAGTTTCCCTGATTTGTTTAGCCTCTCTTGCTGCCAGGAGGAGCTGAGCAAGAGCAACATGTATCAGCACAACTTGTTCATTCATGGTAAGCCAGAGTTCATGCAACACGAAACCAGACCAATAAAAGATCAGAATTACAGTGATATAAGTGCCATTATCAAGATACCCAGTTTAGTTTTATACAAGTCAGAACTATGCTTTATTTATACTTGACATATACAAATTCATTAATACGGGATGCTCTATATAACTACATACTCATTTCTAAAAGTCCCGAAGACCATTATTGTACTCTATTTTTTTCCAGAACTTAAACTTAACCGCAATTCAATGCACTTTTGGAATACCATTATTCATGTTCCAGATTTATGTTTCCTTGTATTGTACCAACACTCTTTAAGAGTATTAGCCCCACTTATTTTTTAAACCTTGTCAGCAAGTCGGACCACACCTTACCTTGAGTATTGCTGGTATCAGTACCCCAAGAGCCATAACCTGTTAAAATAATATTTAATAGCTCATTAACGCAAGTAAAATCTCTGCAGCTTATTTCTATTCATTTCTCTAGTCCTGCTCTGTATCTCTCTCTCTCTCAATACAAAAGTTATTGGATTTTTACCTAAGCTACAGCTGTTTTATAACTTCTTTAGCCATTTAGAAGTTTGTCTCCTACATGGTCTCTGTCCTCCTAACAGGTTCCAACACTACAGAAAGCATGAGCTTAAAAGTTTGTTACTGATGAGTCAGCACAGAATTATCAGGCCAACAGTTATAACTTCCCACAGGCCCAGGAATTCTAAGATATTTTGTTCAGCCTTTCAGAGTTACACTGCTTCTGAGGTCCTTGCTACTCACAAACAATAGAGCTAGTTTGAATGCTATGTAACACAAAATAAAGGAGAATCATAAGTGGGATTTACAATCTCAACAGCATAGAAATCCATTTAAAAAGCAGTTTGTTTACTTTTGTAATATGTTTAGAGGAAAAGACCCATTCTGCAGACTAGTTACATCTTCCAGATAATGTTATCTCATTCCTAGAATGTTATAAACACATCTGATATAGCATGATATAGCATATAACACATCTGGTATAGCCTAGGTGAACTGACTGTATCCCTTTAAAAGTCTGATCTTATATACTCTACTTTTCAACAGATTTTTCATTAGTGATTGTACCAGCAATTTACCTGGTTTACCTGGAAGCAAGTCCCACTGAATTCAGCAAAGCTTATTCCTAGATTTGTGTGCATATGATTGCAATCTCAAATAGTCTGTACAACTGGACTCCTGAATCTTTGACTTCTTGAATCACCAATGTCTTTAAACTTTCCTGTGCATTTTCTGTAGAGCAAGGGTAGGCCACAGGTGGCTCCTAAACACCCTATCCCAAAAAAAGTTTACAAAAGAAATGGCATCTGTAATTGCTACAAAGTGAACCAATGGCCAAATTTAGATTGCTTACATTCTGTAGTGCTCTGGCAAGACAGTTACAGAGAGTAAAAAATTTGGACCTTCCAAAACTGTTCGCCCTTGCTAAAGGGCACAAACTTTTGTGGATGAAAAAAACATCACATCCAAGAGCTGAGATGGCAGTTTTCCATGCATGAAGTAAAAAATCAAAGACAGTAAATCAGGAAGTGGAAGGTGGCCCACTAAGAGACTTAACACTACTAAAATAAAAACATATGTGATTGATAAAAAAACCCTGAGTGAACTGACCATTTTCACAGGCTACCTGAAATCACAGGTAAAAGTATGACTCATTTCTAATGCTACGCAAAAGCAATTTTAACAAAAATCAGCTAGTATATTCTGCAGTCAAATTGAAGCCATCAGGATTATTCAGTAATGCCTCACATGGATCCAAACTGATATTACTGGAATATTATAACCAAGAGTAAAAAAGCTCTGGTCTTATTTTAAATAGACCATGAAGAATATCTACATGGGATTCTCCATGCACTCAGCAGGCATACCGTATTTATACAATCAGTTTTATTCAGCCTTGCTGATATCACACTATTTATGGAATAACCTCCCCACTGCAGCCCCTCTGGTGCCAAATCTGCCATCTTTTCAGCACCAGGTTAAGATGGCCCTCTTTTCTGAGGCTTTTAAGTACTTATTCAGCCACCCAGGGACTTGAGGAGGATTATCAGGTGTTATAGAGCCATTGTTTTTATTTGTTTGTATCATCTGTTTTAGCGGCTTTAAACTTTTTATTTTATTGACTATGTAAACCTCTCTGACAGCTTCAGCTATGGGGCAGTATAAAAATGTAATAAATAATAAATTTGTCATGAATTTCCCATAGATTAAGCAATAACAAATGTAGTGTTATTTTAAAACAGTCTTTTAAAAGTCCATAGTGATATCACAATATTCAACAGATATGTGGATATTGTGCATATCAGCCCATAAATAATTGTTTATTCCTAGATCTCCCAACTCATGCAGTTTTACAATAATCTCATTTTATATTCATCTGGAAAATATTACATAGCAAAGCTGATGCCCCACTGTTAACCAACTTCCCATTACACAAGTATGTTTTCCAAAGTGTTAAAGAACTAAACTTGCCTGTGTTGTTGCCTCACCTGAAAATACAGGAACCACACCAGTGCCTAATTATGATTTAGGCTATTTCAAACATTACAGAGATAAAGTCATGTTTGGGAACAAGTGTGTTTATGATTAGAAGCTGGTTGTGCCAGGGGTCTTGACTGAGAATTTAAACCCTATGTACATTCAGCCTGTTCTCACTCTCTAGTGCCTGAACATAAGAGGCCAGGTTGGGGCCAGGAAATGGAATGTGAGGAAAGCTATACTTATCTGAAAGAATAACAAGTTTTAAACATCCAGTTTATTGTATTGTATTCATTTGCATTCAATTACAATTGAATAAAATAAAATACAATTACCTGGCAAGGGTACAGGATGCACAAGTTTTAGGGTTTTGAAAGATAATTCTGCTATTTAATTCATGCAAAGTGTCCAGCTTCTAAAAATTCATTATTTAATACAATAGGTCGCATAAACAAATGGATACAATATCAATAAACTAAGCAATTCAGAAGTTGCAATTTACTTCTCTCCAAAAACTATAGCCCTTTTCTTGTGTTTCATCAACACTGTGGAGTTTAATTTATTTATTTATTTATTTAAAGCTTTTATAGACCATCCCATTACTAGTGTCTGTGGACGGTTTACAACAAACACAGATAAAACTGGCACAGCAATTCACAATTAAATCACAATTAAACATTGAAATAACAGAATAAAAAGGGTTTTGCCTGTTACTGAAAAGAAAAAAGCACTGGTGACAGGTTTACCTCTCTGGGGAGCATATTCCACAATCATCACTGCAGAGAAGGCCCTCATCCGAGTAATCACCTTCCTAACCTCTTTCAAGGAGGGCTCCCGAAGGAGGACTTCTGCCTCAGTGCTCAAAAGGCGGGAGGGAGAAGGAGGGAGGGCAGTGGGGCGAGTCTAGCCCCAACCTAGCTAAAGAGGCTACCTGAAAATGAGACCAGGCTCTAAGTACACAGGTTCTGAATTCTCAAGGAAGAAACATAGTGCAATCAACTGTATGAATATAGAGCCCATCCTTTCATTCTGCTAAGTGTACCAGGACTGGGGGTAGAGTTAACCTACACAGTCTTGCAACCACTCCATACACTGTTTGAGTATGTGACCAAATCAGAAGAGAGTTTACACTAAATGTATCTAGTAATGATCTCTAAGCACGATATGTTTAGGCTTAAAATACAGAAGGGGACACACACTTTGAAGCTTTGAATTACTTTGAATCTAATGTTTAAATCAAGTTATATACTTTACTGATAAAAATCTCTGAAATATTAAAATATTAAAATAAATGAAAGATCTTAAATATATGTCTTGGTCACTAGTAAAAGTTCTAGGAGTCATTTGAAAAATAAAACCATACTATTTAAATACTTATAAAAGCTATCAGCTGATAAAACTATCAAAATAAAACACATTTTAGCATTGGAAAGTCTTGGTCTCTAAAAAATATTGCTATCTATAAAGAATTAAAATTAATAGGTCTGGGAAAAAAGTTTTCATGTGGCACCAAAAGACCAGAAGTTATTTTCAAATAATCCTTTTGAGGAGGACATTACTCTAAAAATGCCCTCTCCCAAATAACTACCTGCCTCACCTCACCAAAACCCAACTCAGACCACCTATTCAGGAGGACAAAGTGGTCAAGTGTATTTAAAGGTGCTGAGAGGTCCAGGAGAAGCAACAGGGTTGCAGTTTCTAGTCCACCTCTGCAAAACAGAGGCAAGGCAAGGAAAACACTCTCAGTTGCAAAAACACTAAACCAGGCCTAAAACCCCATCAGTATGTGCCTAAACAATCAGTTTCTTGAGAGAATAATTGGAGGTGGCACCTTGCCCCAAAGGAAATGTTAGTAATCAGCCTGCAGTTGCTCACATTTTCCAGATCTAAAAGGTTTTCTTCAGGAGTGGACTTATATAGCCTCTTTTATCAAAGCTGGTAGCACTTTCAAGAAAGGAAAGGCACAAATGCACCTCCTTTCCCTATTTAATGTAATAATTCAAGGTAAGGAAGAAAGAGCAGTAAAGTGTGAATTAATAAAAAATATAGCACCCTGGGACCCCTGTGCGGTTACATGCTACAATACCATGTAGCAAAACCCCACTAATTACACTTCATGCAAAGGTAATATGTGACAAAGAAATGGAAAGTAACAAGTGACAATAGCCACTTTTTAACATGACATCCCAAAACCTTTTCCATCACCATCAAACCAAGTATTTTATCACCTTAAACATGAACAGGTATAAACCCATTTCCTCAGAGGGAGCTAGGCTGACATTCATCAGATAGGTGGCACAATCCTATGCATGTTTAGATATAAAGAAATCCAATACTGGGGGGGATGCTTGGAATTGTACAATTTTTGTCTAAATACATATAAAATTGCATCTTAAAGCAGTCAAACAGAACCACATCTGACACACATGACAGCAAGGAACAACTAAACATGTGCAGTGTAATAGAAAATGCCACCACTGCTGTTCTTGTTACAATCTGTTCTGTGCAATCCTGTAGTTCAGAATCAGAATGCTTTTGAGAGCAAAACTGGGGACTGAATTAAAGAACATTAATATTGGTGGAAGATTTGGGAGAGATAAAAGGCAGTACTTCTTCACATTGCATAAACTATGGAATTTGCTGCCATGAGAAGTGGTAATGGATGACTTTAGAATGGGATTGGTCAGATTCATAAGCGAGGCAGCTAAGTGTAACTACTAGTCTTGCTGGCTACATGCTATCTCCTTTACCAGAAGTAGCATATCTGCATACATCAAGTGCTAAGAAGCTTGGACAAGAGGAGGTCTTGCACCCATCCTACTTGAGGGATCCTGTTGGTAACCGATTTGCCACCGTGTACAGGGTGCTGGCCAAGATGGACCTTGGATCTGATCCAGCATGGTTTTTCCTAAGTCTACCTTGGATACACTGAATCTTCATTAAAACAAAGAGATGGTGCTGCTAAAGTGAAACTGCTTTCAATTAGAAAAGAATTACCATTCATAAAGAAAACCCAAGGAATAGTGCTAGAATTACCCTTCCTATAGACCTAAAAATTAAAAGCAACACACCAAACACGCATTCATCTTAAAAAAGACAAGAAATTAGCGTTGCCATGTTCCCCCCTTTGTATGTTATCAGTCACTGCTACTTCCTTTCTTCTTCTTGCAAGCAACCTAAAATTGTTCTCCTTTCCATTTTAGCCGTACACACTTATTTGCAATCCTATTTTTTATATGAATGCATATTTTACGTCCTCATCTGTATGCCGGAAAAAGTTTCCTTACAAGAATGCCTGTTCCAATAGCGTCAGAGACGCAGGAGTCTCACAGCGGGGGTGGAGGGGAGAGCGAAGGGTTGCCAACCCAGCAGATGCGGAAAGAACTCTCGGTAACCAAGGATTACACTAGAGTCAACAGGACGCAGTTAGCGTACGGGAGGTACGATAAAGTCAGCCTGGACGCTGGCTGCAAAGCACAACCGGTGCAAGAAGACGGGTACGTCCCGTAGCGGACTGGGGATGGGACGGGGCAAGGGGACTCGCTCACAAGGAAGATACAGACTACCCCGGCGCCATTTTGTGGCGTCTTTGGAAATAGGCCCTAGTCCCGCCTTCCCTACAGAAACGAGAAATTAAGCACTCCGCCCCAATTGCCAACCATCTCTCCATTCACCAGGCGAAATTCTATGAGGGACAGGCTCGGTATCCAATCACCGGCAACACTGCCTCAGCGAGAATGAAGACAGTGGGCCAAGGCTCCGCGGCCGCGTAAACCGCGGCCGCACGAAGATAGCAACTCTGCCTGGCACGACGCCTTTCCCGCGTTTTCCGGGGTTCCCACTTCGCCCGGTGCCTCCAGAACCGACACTCACCGTAGCCCTGATCCATGGCCTCCCTCGCCGCCACTCGCCACCACGCTCAGCAGCCTATGCGCTGACTGCGCGAGCGTCATAAGCCGCCGCGAATTGGCTATTGCAGCCGACCCCGAGCGGCTATTGGCCGCCGTGCCAAAGCCCCGCCCAATTCCCACAAACGACTTCTTTTCCCGCCTCCCCTTTCTAAATCGGCGGTTGTGGGTGTTACGTGACGACTTTGCGATGGGGCTGAGAAGCGGGGCTGCTTGTCCCGCTGGGTTGATGTGCGGTTACTGTTTCGGTGGGGAGAGTCCTCCAGGGAGGAGAGGGGCAAGGACAGTAGGAATAAATTGAGAAGTAACGGCCGAGCAAGCTGCGCTCGCTCTGGTTGCGACACTAAGCTGTAAAAATCAGAGCTTCTGCACCTTGAAACGCATGTGGCAGCTGGACGAATGCAGTCTTCGCCTGCGGAAGTCACAAGGGTCTGCTTTGAAAATCTCGCGTACTTTCTCGCGGTCTTCCGCCCGCAAAAACACAGTTCAAAGTGTGTGTGTGTGTGGGGGGGGGGGGTGAGGTCCGACCCCTGCACTGTTGCAAGTTGTTTGACCTGCTGCACTTTTTCCTGCCACGGAAATACAATAGTCGACTCTTCTATGTGTTATTCGGTTTTTTGGTATCACAGTAGTTTACCAAATTGAAGCCCTATATATTACTGTTTCCCTTTGGATTGTTTCAAGTCAAAAATCAGATCAAAGCCAAAAAGGCTCACAGAGACATAGTGTCAAAATACAATCAAAATAACATTCCAGGGAAATTTAAAGTCCATGTAAACAACAGACTGGCCATTACTCAACGTAACTGACAACGAGACTGAACAATTGTGGAGAAATGCCAAAAAAAAATCTGTAACAAAAGGATGTCAGAAGAAACGCAGTTACTAAGGTCAGGCAAGAAGCAAAAGATGAAAGAAATAGAGTGAGAATCTTGAATCGAACTTTTCGATGGATGGATGGATATAAAACAATGACTAGCACAAAGAAATAAAAGCAAACAACCGAAGAGGAAAATTAGAAGATCCAAGAAATCAAAGGGAAATTCAAACCTAGATTAAGAATGCTAGAAGACCAACGGGAAAATCTGTAGAGAAGAGATGAAAGGGTAACAGACTCCTTCAAAAAGGAAGTGAAAGCTGCTTTCAAAGCAATTGGAAGGAAAAAAGCAACTGGAGTAGATAGGTTACCCATTCAACCATTCCAAGCTGCAGAGATGTTTGAACCAGTTCAAATCCTAAGAAAAATATGTCAACAAATATAGGAAATAAAACAATGGCCCACAAACTGGGAATATTTAATATGTATTCTAATCCTCAAGAAGGGAGATGCAAAAGAGTGCAACACCCATTGCAGTAATTTCCAATGCAGGCAAAGTGATGCTTAAGGTGTTTCACAAAGAATTTTGGAGCAAAAAATGTCTGATGTTCAAACTGGATTTCAAAAAGGAAGAGGTACTTGATATACTGTTACTACTTCCAGTACATTGTGTACTGGAATAGCCAAAGACTTTCAGAAGATCAGTCCATGCTTTATATATTAAAGCGAAGCCTTTCACTGTGTAGATCACAAGAAGCTATGGATGATCCTGAAAGAAATGGGTGTTCCTCAGTGCTTGATTGTCCTGATGGATAACCTCTGTCATGGACAATGCAGAATATGGAGAGACAGTATGATTTCATATAGGCAAAGGTGTATTTTATCTCCCTGTCTGTTCAGTCTGTATACACAACATATAATGCAAGCTGAATTAGAAGCAGAGGAAGGATTGAAATGTGGAGGAAGGCACATCAATAATTTAAGAAAAGCTTATTTTACCAACTTCCTGGCAGAAAGCAGAAATGAATTGAAATGACAGCTGAGGAAAGTGAAAGAAGAAAGTGCAAAAGCAGGACTGTAGTTGAACATTAAAGAAACAATTATGACTAAAAACAATTACAATTACAGAACTTTAGTGTTAACAAATAGAGAGATCAAAACTGTCAAAGATTTTAAATACCTTGGCATAGTCATCAATCCCAATGAAGACTGTAGCCAAAAAATTAGTAGAAGACAGAGACTTGGGAGGGTAGCTATGAAGGAACTAGAAGATATTATCAAGTGCCACTGGGGAACAAGGTCAAGATCATTCATGCTATTGTATTCCAGATCATGATGTATGGGTGTGAAAACTGGAAAGTGAAAGCAGACAGAAAATTGAAGTGTTTAAAACATGGAGGAGAACTTGGTGAATACTCTGGACCAATCACACCAGAACTAGAAAGGCAAATGACAAAAAATTAGGCTGTCATGCTTTAGGCACATCATGAAAAGTCAAACTCTCTGGAGAAGACAATTGTGCTAGGAAAAGGAGAAGGGAGAAGAGAGAGGAAGAAAAGGAAGACCAAATGGGGGACAGATCGACTCCATAATGGAAGCCACAGCCTTGAATTTAGAACAGCTAAACAGGACATTTTGGAAGGCTTTCATTCACAAGGTCGTCATAAGTCAGAGGTGACTTGACAGCACAGAACAGCATGCATGCTGCAAATGTATTCCAGTGCACTCTGAATCGGCACAGTCTGTTTCTGTCATGACATGGGGCAGCTGTAAAATGTGCAACATGCCTCTTTTCTTTTATCACTCAGTTACCTCCTTCCCTTGTTGCTATTCCTTCTAGTTCTAAATGCCCAACTAAACTCCTTTTTCTGAGCAAGGGAAAATTTACACAATCTGAATTCAGTACAGTAAATTTTGCATGCAGGGAGCATTCAGGGGTGCCAGAAATTTATTATATTAGCAGCAGGGCACAAAGGATTAATTTGAAACAAGGGACAACATTTTGGTAATATATGAATTTGTACTATAGAATGCTTATCTGATAAATTAATTAAAATTATACAATATCTTTTTCATTTCTAGAATTACAAATAGGATTCTTGTTTCATATAAGAATATTTCTTGTTAACCAGATTCCTAGATTTAAAACTGAAATAACAAGGATCTAAGTTAGCTTCTTTTACATTTTTTCTTCATCTTATGTAATATTTATACATATTAAATTCTAATAATTTTAACCCTATAGGGCAGTTGAAATTTTCTAATATTTAATACTTTTATATTCTCAATTGGATGATAAACATACAAATGACTATGTTGCACATTCCATATCTTCATTCCAATAATATTAGTATTTTCTGTAAAAGTAGCAAGTATCTCTATACTTAGAGCAAATATTAATGTGGAGAAATGATTGCCCTTCCTTATATGAAGTTCAAATTTTTCAGAATCAAGTCTATTAATCTTGATTACTGATCATACACCTTCATATAATGTTATGTGACAAATATCTTAGATTCATCATTTTTCATAGGGAAAATAGTTGTACTGTATGTTCAGAACTGTACTTCCATTCCAGATGAGCAAATGCTTTAAATGCAACAAAGTATGAACATTTTTGTTTCTTCAGTTTAGCATTATAAAGATTATTTCACACTGCATATTGTATCTGATATATGTCTCCTTGGCACAAACCCATATTAATCTGTATTAATATATTTTGTAACAAAGTTATTAAATCTTTTGGTTAAAATATATTTTTTTAAATGGCTCTTGATTTTTTAAGATGGCTGAAACCTGAAGAATATCATCATTTCTTGATTTTGGAATAGGTAATATTCTCACTAACCTCCAAAATTCAGATGTTTTATCTCCAAATGGTAGTGACTCTTAAAAATTTATGAGTCACATAACAATCACCACTTTTAGTAGCTTTTTTAATACATACATCGATAACATGGAATTTTAATTTCCATATTCATAATAATTTTGTTTTAACTGAATCTTTGCTGCCTAGGCTTTGCTTGGTATTTTAGTCCTCTCATTTTTTGTTAATGTCATGTCAGTAAATATTTTCAGAGACTGATTTCTTGTGTTTCTCTGGTATTATCCTTATTCTTGATTATAATTTTTCCTGCAAATTCCCCTTTTTCTCTTCCTTTATTATAAATTCCCTCTCCAATATGTTTTAAGAGTGTCCCATAATACTGTTGGCTTTGCTTTATCAGTGTCATTTACTGAATAGCATTTTAGATTCTTCTAATAGTTTGTGGATTCATGAGCAAATTAATGCTTAGCCTCCAGATTCTGGATTTATTATATTGCCATGACTCTTTTGTACTTTTATTTGAGCATGTTCAGATACTAAACTGAGAACAAAATCTATCCTAGACAATAGTGGTGCGAGTGATTATAAAACAAATATACGATATGAGCAGGTTATTTTTTTTGGGGGGGGGAGTATAATCTTTAGTCTGAGGATTTAGAAACTTCCATCCATCCACCTATCCACTAAGCATTCTTTCTTCTAATAATCTTCCAATTCTCTCTCTCTCTCTCCATCTCTCTCTCTCTCTCTGTGTGTGTGTGTGTGTGTGTGTGTGTGTGTGTGTGAGATGTTGTATCCAGTCTTCCAATAGTATCATTTGGCAACTCCTGGAAAACTTCCATCTTATCTCTCATACTACAAATCTTCTACAGTACTCAGTGCATGGCAGGTTCTTAATTTCACTGCATATAATGAAATTCTGATGGCCCTTATGTATTTGTTTAGGACCTACTCCATAAATTCTTTCCAGAGCCTCCAACGTGTTTCTAAAGTCTGAAGGAAGGTTTTTAATATATTTTACTACTTTATCTTTTAAATCTTCTCTGCCTTCTTCTTGAAGCCTCTTTCCTGTTTAATATTTACACTTTTACCAATGTTAAGAACTTTTTCAAATGTTTTAATTGTTCTAAACCCGCCCCCTCCACCTTTTTGTATCTTCATTAAGTTGATTAGTTAATTTAGCTTTCCTTCCTTTCACCCCCTTCATCTTACCCAGTGCTGTAGCTCTTCTACAGTCATCTGGGGAATCTTATAAATCACTTCAATCTTCTGCTTCTGCAGATGCACTCAAGCCTCAGTTACCCATACCTCCCCTTTGAACTAGGACATTGCTATTGACATCATATAGGTATCAACAGATAATGAAATAGCACAGCATAACCATGCTGAAAATAATTTTTCCCACCATGTGACAAGATGACATAATTGTTCACCATAGTTGCTCAAAAGTGAATTTCTCTTTGGGGTTTGAGGTGGGGGATCCTCCTTGTTCCAGTGTACTTTGTGTCAATCAGTGAGCTCATTATGAGAGACATGTACTTTGTATGATGACAGCAAGGATAATTGCATTGTTGTTTGTGACAGCTTTAGAAAACTTTCTCTCTCTGAAAAACCTTGCAAGTCAGTTCACTATGTTTTAGTAGAGATAAACAGACCAACTGATACTTATTATATGGACAAATACAATAAGGGGACACATTCGTCACAGAAATGTTGACATAACACTTGCCCCATGACCATGATCTACATCTCCCTAGCCTGACTGCATACATTTACTCACAATAATGCATAGCCCATGATGGTTAGATTTGCTGTGTTAATTGCTTCAACAGTAGATAATAAATTGGAGGCCACAGTGGTAATTAGAGCGCCAATATAAACCTTGTTCTCCTCCAAATACAACTGGACAAATTTCACTTGAAATAGAATTGGGTGTTTGGAGGAGGTGGTGCTAGGAGCTAGAACATGCATTTGCTTCCTGCTCAGAAAGAAGCTAAGTCTCCCCGGCTGACAGGACATAGAAAGAGAGGAAGAGCTTGGTTTTATGGTGCAGAAACTAGCAAGGTCAGTAAACAGAAGCAAACTCATTGCCAAGTTGTATAGTCCATCTATCCAGTAGATATAGGCCTTTTTTCTGGCATTTTACCAAGCAATGAACTCACACTGAACACTGCAGTTCAGTGAAAGTGAACACTGCTTTCCAAACTCGTTACGAAGTGTTGCGAAATTCAGCAAACACAAAGCTAAAAGCTGAAGTTACAATAAATGTTCTGGACATTTTTTGAATCACTCTTGAGTAATCACATCTTGATTTAGACTAGTTTTATATAGACAGAACACTATAATTCATGACAGAGTATAACGATTTTTAAAACAAATGATGTACAAAATGAACATTTGGTACAGCAAGACAGTTAATGACATTCAAGCAGGAGGCTAATTTGTACAATATTTGAAGAGTATGAAACAGAGGTTTGTATATATATTATGGGCAACACTGAAGAGGAGAAACTGAAAGGAGGGGCAGGCCCAGACTCAAAGACAGCTCCTGTGTTTTAAGAGTGGCATAGAAAGGAGAATTGCACCAGGTAGGTTTTTTTTTTTTTTTTGACAAAAACATTTATGTTGAAATGTTTCCTGCTGTGAATCTCTTCCAGAGTCAGAAATATTTGGCTATCATGACAGTAAAGATTGGTGAAAGTTACTGGCAGGGAAATGACACTTATCTCCTACAGAGAAATGGGATACTTAGCATACTTCTTAACCCATGGTCTCCCCACCCTTGAAATTTAGTTCCCAAGCTAGATTTCCTGAAAGGACAGATCAACCTTCCTCCATTTTCCTTCTAACAATGAACAATAATATCTGTGTTCAACAGGAGAATAATGTGTAGTAAGAAGTATATAAATAGGGGATCATATTTAATAAAAGATCATTCCACAGTAGGTACAAAACCTGTTCCTCAGATCTTCTGTCCCATGAAGGTCCATTCTGGATAAAAGGATATAGCTGCAGGAAAAATACTGGTGCCATGATTTCCCTCTGCCTTCACCTCCCTAGGATATCCCTTCTAGCCACAAAATAATATCAACAGAAATTTCTCTTGTCCTGGACCTCTACTGTCTTTCTTGCCCTGCTACAGATGTCCTGCACCCCAATTAATACTACAAAAATATTTAACAGAAGTCAACCTTAAATGGGGGAGATTGATGATTAAAATCTCCCTTTATTACTTATTATCAGCTACTTGGAAACTGACAAATGAAGCTCTGGAAGAACGTTTAACCCCTTTCCTCCAAAGCTATCAGCTACTCAGAAAAGGTTGGAGAAAAGCAGAAAGGTTAAGCACAATGATTTTGGCCTTAAGCCACACTTTTAAAAATCTATTTCTTACTGTATATAACCCTCATTCCATTGACAGCTGTCATTTAGACTCAGTATGTGTTGATATAAATTGTCATATGCGTTTAAGAAGTGCATAGAAGGGAGATTTTTTTACTCAAAGCTTTTCTTGACACATGTCAGAAAAATCCAAACACTATTTTTTCAGCTATGTACAGAAACATTTAGAATCTGGACCTGGAGATCTACTTAAACTCCACAGATATAGAAACTGCAATTCTGGAGGACAGAATAAGCTAGAAACTGTGACAAAGGATGGTGCTTATTGCTTTGAATTACTATACATTGTAATTCCATTATTTTTAGAGCAATCAGGCTCTAAGGCAACTAAAGAAGTTCACAGCTGGAAGAATAAAAGGCCCAAAAATAGAGATGTCAGTTAAGTACTTGTAAAATTCTGGGTTATCGTTTCAAAAGCCCAAATAACAATAATTCAGTTGCTCAACACCGCAAAGTAACAATTGTGGATGGTTAATGTAGCTCTTAGTACATGAAGAAGGGCTCAATCCATTTCTTATACAAAAATTAGGAGCCTGGCTGCACATTATTTATTCAGAAGCTTCATGAATTGAGTGTTAATTCTAAGTGGAAATAAGGTCACCACAATCTTTTGCCTCTGTTAACTAGAAAGGAACTCCCATGGGTCTCAGTGGCACTTCAATTGATCTTGTACCGGATTAAGCTTCCAGAAAGGTCTTAGGAGGAACTATTTAACCCTAATAAGCATACATACCCAAACCTGTTTGCACTGTGGTAATGTAATTGTAGGAGCAAAAGGCATTACAGATAAGAATCTTTCCCTCATTCACTAATTCTTCCCCAAGGCTGATTTCCCCACAGCTGGCCTGTCATTTGGAGGGGGAGGAAACAGGTCTGGGGAGGAACTATAGGAGGGAAGCAGCAATTGAGAGAAGTATTAAATATCCCTCACAAGTGCCAGTTGCTACTTGCAAAATGTCTCCAGCTATTCTACAGTAATGAGACAAATATGGATTTGGAAACCTCATAGCGTATAGCTTCATGCTGAGGCTGCAATCATAAGCAGGCTTACTCAGAAGTAAGTTCTACTGAGCTCAGTGTGACTTATTCCCAAGCAAGCATGCTAACAATGTAGTACAATAATGAAGGGGGGATACGTAGTACGCTACTAAATATTTTGTTGAGGAACATATTTAGGCTTTATGAAGAACACCACTTGCTAGGAGTTTGGTAGGCACTACACAAACTGATGTAAGGTATGTTGGCATTTTTTTGCTATCCACATTTATACTACTAGCATATGCTTGTATCTTTTCAGACACGGACATAAGACGGTTGGAATAAGGCAGCACTGACAATTCAAGTACTAGCAACCTGTCATTATACGAACTGTGGCAATTACTGACAATGTACCTTTCTCTAATGTCTAGCAGCTATTCTAGATTTTTTTTCTTCTTTCCCACAGCTAAAACTTTTGAAGATACATAACTATGGTTTAACTATAGGATTTTTTGTCCCCTCCTTCACATTCATAAAAAGTATCAGTTGCATCTACAACTTTCTGTATAACACTAAGAACACTTGTACCATTACAAAATTTTCAGGGTAAGCTATATTCTGAAACCTCCTTCAATGTTTCTATTTCTGTTGATTCAATACACTGTCTTTTCCCATGTTCTTTCAATATTTTTTCATGAGATACTAGGTGCTACAGGAGCTAGGGCAGCAAAACCTTCAAAGCCTGGTTTGTAGTTATTCTTTCACTCACGCTTCTCTTGTCTCACCTAATGCATATTCAGAAGTATGTTCATGAATTTTTTCCAGGTCCATTGGTTGATTACCACTGTAAGAATAGTGCATGTACATATATACATACAGGGTAATAAATGGAAAGTGAGGAACACTGGTAGCAATTTACCACAAATGTTTTGTGAGCACTTTTTGGGAGGGTAGAGCTAAAATACAACATTACTGTTTGAGGAGCTTTGTTTGGATTCCCTAAAGTAAATTAAAGCAGGATTTAGAATAAGACAACTGCCAAGAGCTGCATTGAAGGGAATATTTAATGTAATTTCTGAAACACCTTCATCTGTAGATTTCATATGAGCTCCTATAGCCTTTTCTTTACAGAACAGCAATCTAAGGCAAGCAGGGTCAATGACATCCCTTAAGCAACATCAGGAGAAACCCCAACTGGAGCAATGCTGAGTTGCTTTTTAAGAAGGGGCAAATAATATTTATCCCTCTTTCGGGTTCTCTGACCATCAATCATTTTACTGCTTCTTCCAGAAAACCACACACAGAGGTAAGTCCTAATATAGTGTTTTATCTCCAACAACTGGAAGCAATCATTCTTAAATAAAAGCACTGCAAAACTATTGTGCTGACCCCAAGTATTACCTTTGTTTATGAAAAGTAAAAAGATAAAAGAATGCTACAGTTGCATGGAAGTTACTCCAATTCTGCAGAATTTAGAACCCAAAATTCTGCTGCTGACATTTCCAGACAAGGCTAGCTAGGGAACAAAAACATTTTCAACTATATACAAAATTAAAAGGGAAGAACATTTGAGGACATTTACCCCCACCCACCCCCAGTTGTAGCATAGTACAAGCTGATTAACAAAGTTTGGGTTTAAGTATTTACTCCAAAAAAGAAAGAAAAAAGAAAGGTAGTTTCCTAGTACAAAGCCACTTAAAAATCGTACTGCACAAAACCTAGCTAATACAATGAAGATTTGGTTAAAAAAAGCTATTTCCAAAAACACTTTACAGATAAAGGTTTTTAAGTGCTGTAACTAGGTGAAGTGTAGTCAATGAGAATCAAAAGCTGCGTGCCATATAGTGTCACAAATACAGTTATGGTTTTAAAAGTTTGAATGCAGTCTCAAAATGTGTCAACCTTATTTGAAAGTTCACTCATCAGGTAGTTCCATTTCCTCTGAAGGTACAGTTCCTCTTCTTTCTTCATCTTCGTCGTCTTCATCTTCTTCATCTTCATGTTCTTGTTCCTGCTCAGTAGCAAGGGCTTCCTGGGACATTTTCAAGTTCCACTCTTCTAGCTGCCCTGGTGGTTCTTCTCCCCCTTCATCACCTTTGTTTTCTGCATTATCTTCTTCAACTGGGTTTTCCTCAGCCACATTGTCTTCACTTTTAATTATTTCTTCAGTTTTGTTTCCTTCACCTGCTCCTTCCTCCATGTTTCCACTTGTTCCTGCCTCACTTTCTTCATGTTCCTCTTTCTCTTCAGGATCATCTGTGAAAGGATTCTCACCCTGCAAAACAAGACAAAACCATATAGCACCTAGTATTAGACTTCTTTTTCAGACAGCAACATCACTTCACACTATGCAACCACTTAACTTTACAAGCAAGTTTAAACTGGCATATGAAATCAGTGTTCCAGGTCCATTGGTTCATTACCACTGTAAGAATAGTGTAACATACTAAGATGAGTTGCTTGCTTGCTTGAAGTTATACAGCCTGAAGAAGAAAACACAAATAATACCACACAGGGCAATCCCCATTCCTTATTTTTAAACCACTGGAAAGAATAAAACCTCAGATACAAGTAAAACTAGAGTGGTTCTTTTTTTAGAACTATGGCATCCCATCCATTCCAGATAGCTTGGCCAAGTTTTTTTTAAACAGGGCTGTGTGTAAAAGGAGAATTATATATCCTATCAACAGCCTTCATTGTGTGGTACATTTTTTAAAAAAATCTCTCCCACCCTGATAGGATATCATTTTACTAAGAGTTTGTGGTACTTTTTACATCTTTCTAGGAGCTTCTAAACTGAGTGGGGAACTGTTTGGGATCATTAGGTGAAAGCACAGGCTGGAAGTCCTTCAACTGGCAATTCAGTTGAAGAGGCTGCTTTGCTCCACTGAGGCTTTTCCCGCCTATAGTGCAGCCAGCAAAGGTGCTGGCTTTGTGTTTCCCATGTGGGGGAAAAAGCAAAGTTGAGCTGACTCAGACCCCATTCAATGGAAGAGGAAAGAGGGCTGATGCAGTTTTGCTCCTGCATGGCTAGGGCCCCAGCTTCTGTGTACACAGACTTTCCACATCCAATGAAAACCAGGTAGACAAAACAATTTCCAGTCAAAGTGCAACATGGAAGGACTCTAAGCTGGGGCAGTTTCACCCACCCTCTACTTTCCCCCACTGAGGAAGATGCAGTTCTTGCAGAGCACTTAGCACCCTGGTCCCAATTGCGGGGACAGGCAACACACTCAGGGGAATCCCTGCTGTTATTTCCATTCGCTGGTTAGCAGAGAGAGTCGAAGGACTGGAGGTCTCCCAGAAGGAGAAGAGAACAGCTGTATCACTATGTCTATATTGCTTTGCCCCTTCCTGGATTTAATTGAATAAGTGGGTATGACATTAGTTTTTCCAATATGCTGCAGCTGACCAATCATGCTGTATGTTTGCCTACATCTGTGGCCCTTTCACTGGTATAAATGCTTATTTCTAACGTCAGCAAAAACTATGACTTTGGAGTACAGAGAAGAGAATGGGACACAAACAAACCTAGAAAGAAGATAAAGAGGTGGGGACACAGGAATGAGGTGTAGAGAGACCTACAGAGGAAGGAAGTATGTGGTAATGAAGAGATGGAAGTATATAGCAAACCTAACCGAGCAATGAAGATAAAGATGTTTGAGCACAGAAATCCTGTGGATGGTGAAAGAGAGCAGCTGCAGTGTGAGGAAGAAGGGAATAAGCAAGCAAGTGAGGATTCAGTGTAGGAGGAGGCAGGTTTAACAGAAATACAGAGTGAGTTATAGAAATGAAGAGAAAGAAAAAGGGCTTCGATGTGAAATGCATTAAAATGTTACCACTGCAACACAAATACATTTGTATGGGTTGCACAGTGATACAAGCCTTTGGAGTTAGTACAAAGGTAAGAGTGGCCCTCAGGGAGACTGGAATTATGCCTTCCTGGCACAGGTGCAGAATGATATAGATCTTTACCTTCAGATACCTCTCCAATTTCTTGCTGATAAGTTTATTATTAAGAATGCTTCTTGCAACTACTAGTGATGATTTCTTCGACTGTTCCATCATGGCCTACAAAATAAAACACACAGAAAAACCATGGTCTGTACTGAATTCATTAACATTTTATGAGTTCTCTTACACATACCAATGAAGAAGGCTGATATCAGGAATGTTTCCACAATAAAAATAATTTCACAAATTGAGGTGATGAACTATCCACTTTTATCTTTGCTTAGGAATGTGAGTCAATTTGGGCCATTGTGTATCTAAGAGGAAGGCAGTAGAATGGAGAAAAGCCCTTCAATTGATACTTCTACTTGTACCATGGTATAACCTAAAGCAAGAGAGGGAAGCTGAAAGAGAAATAAGCTGGCATTTTGACCTATCAACCCCTGAAACTTATTCCTTGGTACACACTAGTGTTAACATCCAAATCATACTTGATGGAGTTCTCACCACACATTGCCTAGAAAATGGTGGGAAATGCAAAGAGAAGAGACATATTCTGAGTAGTGACCATGAGCACAGTTCTGCAACTGTCCACTAAGATGTAAGGTATGTGCTCACTACAAGCACTGTCTGTCAAAAGTACATCTGTCACATATTGGCCAATACATGTAAACATTTGTTTACCTTTAGTGTACTGAATTTCAACAAAATGGAATCATAAAAACTAGAGTACAAACCAAGGGAATTAAGTAACTATTTTACAAAATCAAAAGGGAGAAGGGGTTAGAGTGGCATTAACACTCAATGAATTGTAAAAATTATGAGATGCCATTACTAGCTATAGCAGTGCTCTGAGAGAAACAATACTGTGGAATGGGATATAAATCTTCTAAAATAAAGAAGTAATATAGCCTCTTATGCAAGCACTCTATGAAATATTTTATGCAAAAGAATACTGCGCCTATTCTGATGGAATTGTGTTGCTGTGTATTAGCTTGTGCATTCAAAAGTTTAGTCATTTTGTTATCATTCAGCCCTGCCAACATGTTGGCTTGGCCAACAGTAAGTTCAGCAAATCCACTCACTCTGCGGTTGTGGTTGTGATCAAGTGACTTCAGATGTTTCTGGATTATTCCATACTGCATAGGGATGAAGAGGTCACAGGCAACACAGTGAGCAGCCTCCACCTTTTTAACAAAATGCTCCATACCTATGTCTAGTGAAAGGGAAGAAATTTCATTTATCACAGTCTATCCCAGAACATGCACTACCTGATAGCTACCTACATTTCTCACAAAAGAATGCTTGATCATCTAAGACTGGGCAAATGCCACCTTGCCCAAGCTTCTTGAGATACCAGTCAGTAATCTGGCTGCAGGTATACTGATGGAATGGAATTGTAAAAAGTGATGGAAAGTCACTAACACAAGGCAAGAATATAGAAATATAAGGTAGTATGTTTCCATCCCTCAGTGGCAAAACAGTAAAGTATCTCACCTATACTAAAGAAATACTTTCTGAAAATGAATCCCTATTCTACAATACATTCCATGACTGCTTGTGCACACATATACCCAGGGAGGATTTAGTAATACAATGCTATGAGTGTCCTAGGTAGACAAAATACTGCAATTGATTTTCTTATCACCTAGCAGCGCTGCCAATGTAGCACAATCTTTCTCTCCCGCAAAGAAGAAACTTATTTTGGAATGAGCAACGAACATTTTTAGCCAAGAAAACAAGAACATTTATCACTTCATAATAGAACTCTGAAGACAGCTTCAACACTCCACCATCAGGAAGATAATACATACCTTGGGTAAGATCTTGGTCTTTGTAGATTTGTTGTATAACTGCATTAATATCTTCAATTGCTTTACGACGTTCTTCTGTCTTTTTTGTTTTGTTAGCAACATATTCCTACATTGCAAAAAAAGTTATGAAGTTTCGGTGTAACTCTAGTGAAGTGCAACATACAGAATATGCTAAGATTACCCTACAAAGTTCTGTCTTCCCCTCTTTTTCTCCGGCCCACCCAGCATATTTTCATGTCCATGACCTTTCATACCTTCTAGTTCTTTCTAAGAATTAAAAAACTAGGAGTAGGGTACTCAGTTTGGAGTCCACTGGCATCACTTTATGTTCACCAGGCTCCCTGCATTCCTGATTTTTAAATTAGTTTTAAATCTTTAGAACAAAGTAACTGAGAAGCAGGCATACTGTGAAGTAAAGGGCCCGATTCCGATGCCATTTCTGAGAAGGCCAATGACATTTAGAAAATAAAAATTCTCAGCTCCTGTGTGCCCTACTGTCCAGAAAAAAAGGGTAAGTTCTGGATGGTAAGAAAAATCCTGGGGCACTGGAAAGGAGGTACTTTGGATGTGCTCCAGCCCCTTCTCTGTACTTTTTCCAATTCAATGATATCTTTGCTCATATGAGGTGACCAGAACTAGACACAATATTCCAGGGTGGTCATACCAAAGATTTGTATAAGGGGAGTAAGATCTTGGCAGTTCTATTTCCTATTTTGTTCCTAATTATGCCTAGCAGGAAGTCTGCCTTTTTCATAGCAGCTCTGCACTTGGCCAACATTTTCATCAAGCTGTCCACCACTACTCCAAGATCCTTCTCTTGCTCAGTCACTGCTAGCTTAAATTCCATCAGCCTATACTTTGAGATTTCTTTTGTCCCATAATTCGTTACTTTACACTTGCTTACATTGAACTGCAGTTGCCATTTTGATGCCCATTCTCCCAGCTTGGAGAGATCCTTTTGGTATTAACCATGCTAATATTTATTTATTCTTTCAATTAATTACTATACCACCCATTAGTCAACACGACTCTCTGGGAAGTTTACATAATCAAACTATGCAAATAAATAGTTTGGTGTCATCAGCAAATTTGACCACTTCACTACTTACTCCTATTTCCAGATCATTAATATGTTGAAAAGTATTTGGTCCCTTTGGGACTCCATTGGTTACACCTCTCCACTGGAAGAAAAAATTTGCCCATTTATTTTCACTCTCTGTCTTCTCTTTTTTAACCACTTAGTGGTTCATAGGAGGACCCTATGCCCCCATCCTCTGTACAAAGGCTGATTTTAGGGACATAGTAAATATTTTGGTAAGAAGGAGGTCAACAATTTATGTTTGAGTTCTTTGAGAGCTGTAGAATGGATCATATACACAAGGTGATTTACTGACTTTTAGTTTGTCAATAAGGTGGAGATATTCATCTTTTGTCACTATTATCTACCTTAATTCCTCCAACTGCTTCCCAGAATACTTAAACTCTGGAACAAGTATCTGCTTTTGCCTCTTCTGCTATAAAGACTGATGAAAAAACTTGATTCAGCTTCTCTGCAATCTCATCGCCCCCTCCCCATGTGCCTTTAATTCCATTATCATCCAATGGGGGGACTACTTTTGTGGCTTTAAGGAATTCTACACTGTTGGTCTTGCTGTTGTTACCAATACATTCCTCAAACCGTTTCCTTGTTTTTCTTATATCTGCTTACTTGTTCCTTACACAAGATTGTGGTCCCTACTGTTTTCCCCCCATCTGGGCAAGATTTCCAGTTTTTGAAGAAAGCTTTCTTCTCCCTAATAGCTTTTTTAACTCTATATGTTAGCCAAGCTGGTGATTTCCAAGATGGTAGACTTTTTGCTACCTTTCCTCACTTGTGGTATGCACGTTATTTTTGCCTCTACTGTAGTGTTTTCAGGGTAATCTCCAAGCACTTTGAAGCAATTTAACATCCTTGATTCCCTTCTTCAGTTTCTTCCAGTTATCTCATTTTGGAAAAGTTTCCTCCTTTGAAGTCAAATTCAATTATGTTTGGCCTCTTCAGCAGTCTTCCAGTTAATTATATATTAAATGTGGTATCACCATGGTCACTTCTTCCTATTGGCTCAATATTTGCATCCTGTACTATGACTTGGGCAACCCACATAGGACTAAATCCAGGATTACCTTCCCTACAGCTGCTTCCATGAAACAACTGATCCAGGGCACAGTCATTTAAGACACTGAGAAATTTACCCTCTCTGCCAAAACTGGAACATACATTTATCAAGTCAGTGTGTGGGTACTTGAAGTCACCCATTATTACAATATCACCTTTAAGGGAGGCCTCTTTGATTTCATTCTCCATCTCAAGATCACCCTGAGCATTCTACTCCGAAGGATGATAGCATATTCTTATGACTGAATTACTTTTGGAGTCAGGCATTTTCACCTAATGGTCTGGATCTGCAGTGTACTAAAAAGTGTAAGTAAGGGCAGGGTATAACTGTGAGATATGGATGCCATTTTTACCAATACCCATCTCTCAAAATAATACTCCTGAATCCAGTAACACAGAGAGAATGGGAAATATAGAACAGCATTCCATTTAGCTTTGTCAACTAATCTCTTAAGAAAACTGCAAGGCTACTTCTTAAACGGGGAAAAAAAACCCACCTGAAGGAAATCAGCTGTCTGCTGGGGCAGTTTAGTTCCAACAAATGTAAAGTGCTCCTTGTGAAATTTGCTCTCCAAATGATTGGTCATCTCATCCTCATAGAAAGTGCGATATTTGCACAATGAACATACAAACTGAATCCTGTAAAGCCACATCAAATAAAATAGGAAACTTCAACAAAGAGGTCTTGCTGTTTCTTAGGCAGATGAAAACTTTTCCTTCATGTACTCAAGGTGACTTATATTTGGTTTTTAAGGCAGAAGAGAAGCTAAAATATACTAGGTGCATAATATCTGAAGTCCTAGTTTACCCTTCATGGATCAGCTACTCTCACACCATAGTTTTTGAACTATCAGCCCTCCTATTTTTAAACCCCTCATTCTAGTCATACCGGTGACCCCACTGATACTGCACAGGATTCAAGTCAGTAACTCAACAGCAATGAACAAAAACCTACTGCCTCATTCCAAAAGAGGTCTAGCGACTGATACACCCCCATCTTCCAGAGAAAAGGCTTACCTTTCCACCATCCGATCACGGTATCTTTTTTTTTGCCTCTCCTGTGTTTTCTTACCAGCTTGCAATTTCCGCTTAATTTGACTGATCTCTTCTTGAATTGTCAGAGCTCCTAAATGTAATAAAATGGGACTTGCTTATGGATCCTATTGAAGTCAATTGTCCTAGACGAGACTGCTCCGGTTAGTGTTAGTGATTTTTGGCTTGGTTTTATTAATTCAGAATACTTTCATTCTCTATAAGCAATGTTCCTGTGTATCCTAGAGGAACACAAATGCATTGGTACTGGAAATCACTAGCTCAAAGTACTTCCATCTCATCTCAGAAAAGGAAAGAAAATATAGTCTAGGAAATAACTTCACAAACCTCCTAACTTTGTCTCTAAAAGTATTCTGTTAATGGTAAATTTAACTACAGTGGTACCTTGACTCCACAAACTTAATCTGTTCCACAACTCTGGTCATGACCCAAATTGGTCGTAAGCCAAGTCAAATTTCCCCACAAGGTTCAATGTAAATAAGGTTAATCCATTCTGTAATTATTTATTTTTTTACTCACCAAAATGTGAAGCAAAGTGACAAAGAACAACAAAGATCACGGCCATCTATCCCACTCCCCCAGTCAGCATGACCAAATCGCGCCCATGCAGGGAAGACAGGCACAATCGTCACCCGATGCGGAGTTTGCAACTTGAGACAATTTTTTTTTAAATTTCTGTTAGCAACCTGATTTGGTCGTGAACTGAGGTGTTCATGAGCAGAGGTACCACTGTAATTGAATATTCATGATACAGGTCTTTTTAGGAAATGGCAGTTAGGTCAGATCCAAAGCAGCTGCTTCCTGCTCCTGCTGCTGTTGTCCATTTATATTCCACCTTTGTTCCTCTTGTAGGGAACCCAAGGCAGCTTATATAGCTCCGTTTTATCTCCACAACAACCACCCTGTGAAGTAAGTTGTGTTCAGAGTGAGTGACTAGCCTAGAGACACTCAGTGAGCTTCATGGCCAGGTGGGGACTAGAAACCAGATTTCCTAGACACTCAGTCCGAAACTCTAACCACCATGTCACACTGGAATACTAGTCACTTGGTATTTATTAGCAACTGATAAAATGGCTCTAGAAATAGATATCTAGTGCAATATTCCACACAATCCATGTGAAAACAGCTTTCTTGCTATCAGCAACCAAACACATGCACATTTAGACTTGCCTTTCTCAGAGTCTCCTTTTCTTTCTTCATCATCACCACCTTCCACTTCTCCTTCCTAAAATATAATTAAGGACAGTGAAGCATAGAACTGCATTTGCTTATGAGCAAGGTCACAGCACGTGTGAAAATAAATTTACCTCTAGTAATCATGATTGTTGCTATCTACTAAGATGTTTTGGGATTAACAAAAAAACCCTGCAATATTTCATAACACTAACACAAAATAGCACTTTATTCAATATGCTAATATAGTAGGGTATGGTTATATGATTCATTTTCATTTTCATTAAGCATTTCATTTGGCACCTGTAATTGCTAAAAAAAAAGCTTTGTAATACTGAAACTTCAACGTTAATTTCAAGCTCTGAGAAGCCTTCCAAACGTATAAGAATTCAGAATAAAAAATTGGCACTAATTCTGAATTTGATACAATTTAACTTTGGACTGAAATGTAACTGCTCAGTTCTATAAGGAGCAAACACTATGCTCTCATGCTAAAGGGAGGGAGCTCTTAGATAGTCCTAATAAGCTGCACAGAGCTAGGGTGAGTGCCAATGCAAGTGCTAATGATTTTCTGGAATTGTGATCCCTGACCCCCCATTCAACATTACCTTAAAGGCATCTTTTGCAAAAAAAAAAAAAAAAAAAGTCTACTCATCACACTGTATTCGGTCTGTGCTGTAAAATCCAGACCTTGGTCTCTGCCTCTGAAAGTACAGTGGTACCTCAGCTCACAAACGCCTTGGTTCACAACCAAATTGGGTCACGAACAAAAATTTCATGAGAATTTTGACTTGGGTAGTGAACTCTGTTTTGGGTGGCGACCAAGATCACAGCCATTCCCCCCCCCCCCCGAGTGGGGAGATGGCCACGATTGCAGTTGTGTTTGTGCAGGGAAGACGTGCGTGATCATGGGCGCGCTCCTGCAGGAAAGACGAGCAAAATCTCGGCTATCTCCCCAACCCAACCAGCACGATCGTGGCCATCTTCCCACCCCACGAGTGGAGAGATGGCCACAATCACAGTCGCATTCATGCAGGGAACACATGCGTGATTGCAGCTGTGCTGTGCTGCTGTCTTTCCTGCAGGAGTGCACCCGTGATCACACACGTCTTCCCTGCATGAACACAACTGCAATCATGGCCATCTCCCCACTCGGGGGAGTGGGGAGATGGCTGTGATTGTACTGGTTGCGGGGGGTGGGGAGATGGTCGTGAACATGAGAGAGATGGCCAAGATTGTGCCCGTCTTTCCTGCAGGAGTGCGCCCATGCCAGGATTTCCTTGAGAAGCACCACCCCAACGTAACTGTAATATACAGAGTGTTGAATCTGATGAATGATAACATGGTCTCTCATTTCCAGAGGGTTATGCAGTGCAGGAAAAAACAAGTGACTATAGACAGATTTTTCACCAAAATTGATCCTGCAGCTAAGAGACAAAAGAAAAGCAGAAACTCCTGAAAGAGATCTTCCCAATGTCCTTATGGAGGGGGACTCTCCCTCAAAACAATAATCTCCCTGCAACCTAGGTTAGTGTTCTCCACTGTACTGTACAGTACTTTGTTGTTCATCACTTTGTTTCAAATTTTTCTGATAAAAAAATAGTTACAGGGATTAAATTAAAAATGCTTCAGGAAGCCAAAAGGAATGGGGGTTTTGGTCTTCCTGATTGGATGTTGTATTATCAAGCATCTGTTCTAACTTGGCTAAAAGAATGGATAACTTTGCGAAATAAGAGAATTTTGTATCTTGAAGGTCATGACTTGCAAATGGGTCGGCATGCTCATATGTGGTACGAGAAGGCTAAGTCACATGGGTCTTTTCTGAGTCATTTTATTAGAAGATCATTAACGTCAGTGTGGGAAAAGCTAAAGTCAAAAGTGTATAATAAACTACCACGATGGCTTTCACCTATGGAAGCTTTTGTATATCCAAATGCATTGAACTTTGAAGGGATCATAAGATATGATGATATGGATAAGGATGGAGGCCTGAAACTAGGTCAAGTAATACAAGAACAGGGATTTAATATCTCCTGGTGGTATAAGGTGCAGATGCAATCGAGATATACTAAAGATTGTAAAGTATGGGGGTTTTACAAAGGCTTAACAGCATTTGATCAAGTGATGCTTAAAACAGATGAGAAAGTTATTAAAAGATTATATGATTTTTTAATTGACAGGAAAATGGAAGGGGAACAGGTTAAGGAAACTATGGTAACATGGGCACAAAACTTTGGATATAAAGTGGCAAAAGCTATGGGAGAGAAATATTAAGGTAACATTAGCAACTTCGTATAAAGAAAATTTATATAAAATGTTCTATAGATGGTATTTGTCGCCAAGTCAATTAGCAAAGATGTTTCCAAATATGTCAAATAGATGTTGGATATGTAAACATAAAGTGGGTACTTTTTATCATATGTGATGGACCTGTGATAATGTGAAAAAGTATTGGATTAAAATACATAAATGGCTGGAGGAAATACTACAAAAACCTTTTGCTTTTAAACCTGAAGTATTCTTGTTAGGCATCATACTGGAAGATATTAACAGACAGGAAATGTATTTGATGTTACATTTAATCGCAGTGGCGAGGATTGCATTTGCTGAATACTGGAAAAGTGTGGAGCTACCCACCAATGAACTGATTCTAAGAAAGATTCTGGACTGCGCAGAAATGGATAGATTGACTTTATTACTGAAGTAGAAAGAAGACACTGACTTCTATCAAACTTGGGATTTTTTCTATGATTGGCTGGAGAAACGGGACTTGGCGTAGATTTAGAGATGTTTTTAAGTTATTATAAACTGATTTGAATATGATTATAGAATGTTAAAAAATATGTAGCAGGGGGCTGACCCAGTAAGTCCGATGTATGTGATGACTGATGTTTTTAGTATTAGTTTAAAATTTTAATAAAATTTCCTTTAAAAAATCGTTACAGAATGGATTAACCTTATTTGCACTGAATCTTATGGGGAAATTTGGGTCACAACCAGAGTCATGGAATGGATTAAGTTCACGAGCCAAGGTACCACTGTACAGGTCTTGCTTAGCATGACTCTAGCGCTGCCCTACAGTTACCTTTCTTAGCTTACTAGGCATTGTTTTCCAAAGGCCCTGAGAAGACATGGTAAAACGACAGACAGCAGCTGTCCTCTGCTGTGAGAGAATGCACCTTATTGGACCTACTAAGTTTATGCTTTGTTGTATGCATAACAAATTCACTTATGTTACTACATCCTATCATTTTGGCACATGAGGTAGAAATATCAGAACTGGCCAGGATGGGAAACCTGCGCTGCTATGTCTTGTGGCATGCTAACAAAGATGGGAAACGTCGTATGTCATAGTGTACAATGATGCAGAGCTGCATGTGGTATACATTTCAGCTTGCTAGTGAGGTAAACAAATAAATTCACATCACTTAGGTCACAACACCTGTTTAACAGCCATCCCCTTTCTCACAGTTCTGTAAGTGGGCCGTTTTCCTCTATGTATTGTTCGGACACTAATATCCTCAAGGGGACTGTCCATTCCAGGCGACTGAAGCTTTCTTACAACCTAGTACACACTGAACGTTGTAAGTGACTTGCTGCTAAGCCCTTTAAAAAAACTAGGTAACAATTTGCCTTTAGCATCAATAAAGTCCCCTTGTAAGCAAACCTGGATTTAGCATATTGGTTTCTTGGGATTGCTCAAACCTTTAGCCCATGGTTGGGCAACACACATGCACCAACATTGTAAGTAATGTTGCTCTTCAGTCAGCACTCCTCTTCAACATGTGTTCTAATTGGATGGTAACACAGCAACTCTTCACTGTATTCTAAGTCTCTGATTGCTGAAGTCAGCCATTAGGTTTAAGAGTTCTACGGTTACAAGCCACCTTCTCTACCAACATCGACATCCTTTCACTAGTTGGATCAATTAAAAGATACTTGCCATTATTTTAGGTGCTTCCTTTAATATATACAGAACATTCAAATGTGCTGTTCAACCACAGCAAACAAAGGCCTTTCCTTCATTATTCTTTAATTTATTAGTTTCTCAAGAATTACTGTCAGCTATGCAATACTGTACATAATAATAAACCTTTGTAAATGGATATATTACATAGTGGATTCACACTTTGAATTAATTCAATAAACTGGGAATATAACATACTTCTCACACAAGCTAAACCTACCATGAAACATAGTGAGGCAGTTGTCTCAAACAGCATTTTTGAAAGCCAGTAAATCAGGTCCTGTCAACCCTTTGGTCCTATGGCCACCTCTGGAAATTTAACCAACTTATTAGCAGTTGGTTCGTGGCCATAAAAAGTCTGCCATGACAGAGCACGCTGCTCATAAGGGACAAGTGACCTGCTCACTCTCATTTCGCTAAAGCACTCCCAGGTGCCAGTTTTTAAAATATATATATATTTAAAATAAAAAGTGGGAGGAGTAGTGTGTTCACAGGGGGCACATTGTGTCCATAGACTCTATGTTGCCCAGCAATAACAAATTATCAATAATTTGTAATTATTGTGATGTGGGATACAGCATGTGCCTGTGTCCACCTCTTGAGGCAGCTGTATCCCTTAACTATTCCTTCAGGCCTAATCACACTAACCTCTTCTTTTCACTCTTTGACCCAAGGAAAAAGTAAGCAAAGTGTGGTTTCTCTCTAGACAGGGTTAGCACAGCAGAACACTGTTTCCAACCCATTTCTCTCAACGGAAATATACATCTGTGTAGTAAGACTGAATTGAGACTCACGTTTTTAGAACCCTTCTCAGCAGCTTCTCCTTCAGGACCTTCTTCTGAAAAGAGCAGCATATTAAATGACTATGCATACTACAAAATCACTAAAACATTTAGTGAAAAATTATGGTTTAACATTGACAAATACAGGTGCAGTGGAAGGAAGACAGGCTGTCTGCTGGGCTAGGTAGACTTCAACAGCAGGCTCTTACCATTATCAGAGTCTGAATTGTCAGAGCCATCAGTTTTTGCTGTCTTACTGTCAGGCTCATCAGAACTGTTAGTCTGTTTCCTCTTATTAGCAGTTGGTTCATTCTTTATTCTTTTTTTCTATGGATTGAAAGAGAAAGTTATTTTCAACCGCATGTGCAATCCAAAAATTTTCTCATCACCAACCAAAAATCTACATTTTATCACATTTTAAATTCTGTATATTCGATTAAACAATAGCTACAGACATGCTGTTCTAAGACATTATTTCTTTCATATAAAACTTCCCAGTCAATCCCAGATCATACTTCCTAACCTTGACTATGTTTCAGTAGTTGATCGCAAGGCAACTTACAGGATACAATGAGACATTCCTAGAGGAGCTTAAAAAATACTGTACCAAGGAAATGCCAAAGAGGACGGAAAATGTTTCCTATAATAAAGCAATTTAAATTACAAAGACTCCTTTCCATTTGGTTCCAGGCAGGGTCTTTTGTTGGATAGTGCCCTTTAAAAGGGACAGAAAGCAGCTGGGAGAAGATTACATAGGTACTTACTTTAAAATCTGCGTCCCACATTTTCCAGTTTCTCCTCATTCGTTGTTTCATGCCGCCGCCTCCAAAGCGCATGTTGCCAGAGAAACCTCGCATTCCCTGGAACATGTTGTAATCAGGAAATAGTTTATGGGAGAAAAGGGATGGGGGCCTATTGGGGCCATGGCCCCGTCCTCCCATTGGCATTGGCGGGTCATTCCATTGTCCGCCCATGCGCCCAGAATATGCAGATGCCATGGGTCTGTTATTTCGCCCGTCTCTGGCCCAGTTTTGACCCCGGTGGCCAAAGTTGTCACGTGCTCTGTTGTGGTACTGGTCCCTGCGGCTCCCATAGGAGTTGTCATAGTGGCCTTCATAGGCATTGTCGGTGTCATGTTCAGCCTCACTGTAATCATAGCCGGATCTGTACAGATCACGGTCGTTCAGTGAAGACCTTGAGTCGTAGGACTCATATGTATCATACCTGAAAGAATTGCACAGCAAGCAAGGAATCCAGTCAGTAGCATATAGAGCACCACATGAAAGAGTTTGCCAAGAAATGGCAGTAGAAAAGGGTAACATTTTTTTAAAAATCCCACCTCAGAACTGTTTTAGATACAGTTGAGTTTAAGCAAAGCTCAGCTGAGTTTAACCCAGCATGAGAGATTTTACTTTATGCAATATACCACAGGGTATACCATCCATATAAGGGCTATATGTAATTCTGTTTAGCCTCAGTCAATCACAGAAAGAGCAGAGCATTCTGATTAGATTGACTAGCATGCCTTCAATTTGAGGGCTAAAACTTTTTTTTTAAACTTTGCTTTTTATTGCTTCACTTCCCAGTCTTTTTAGGTATTCATCTATGGTAGACAGTAACAGCAATTATTCCAAGATAGAAAAAAATCTGTTAAGAGGAAAACTAGCAGTGATTACTGGATATGTAGGAAGAGATTCTTTACACATGACATTTTTGCCTGTAATGATCTCTATGCAGAAAAAAAGTATGAAAAGACCTAACAATCCCATCTTCCATGCCAACTATGAATGGCTGAGACAAACAAGTTAACTTGAATATATTTCTTCTATAAAAGACAGCTTTGTATGAGCACAATCTCCTAAGTGTTCAAATGCAGCAGAGGACTTTTAGGCATAAGCTATACACACTGGGTTGGTTCCCACAATCAAATGACCCACTGCGGCTTAAGCAATGGTGGGTTACAGTGTTTCCCAATGGCCGTTTTGAACATGTAAGCCAAAACTGCAGCTTGTCGTGTTGTCAGAACATAGAGACTATAGGTTATGGGAGGATTAAACAATCCTTGCAGAACTCTTAACAAAGGCCATGGATTCTGCTTAATCATCCTACAAACCATGGTCTCCCAGTCTGAACAACATGACAAGATGTGGCTTGAATAATTAGTATGGCACCTACAGGTGCTGCTGCTCATCATGGCTTAGCCATAGAGATTGTGCAAAACCAGTCATTCTCATGTTCAAGAGTCTGCATATTAATCAAGACAGACTCTGTGACAGAGATGACAACATTATAGGAATATTCTGGATAGCACGATGCTTTGGTTGCTGTGGCAAACCAAAACAAAGCTATGCTATACTTAATAAACCAGCACTGGACACAAGTGTGTAAATCAATGATCATGCTTTGTGTTAAGGATCTGAAAGCAAGGACATGGAAAGGAAACAATGGCTGAGGAGGAGACTTCAAAAGCTAACTCAAGAGCAGAAAGTGTCATTCTAAAAGGCATCAGGGCAAGCTTAATTATCCCATCTACCAGACCCACAATCCTTACACCAATTTACAGCATACTACAACTCTCACTGCTGTTATCTGTCCTTTCTATACTGTTTTCTAAAACAGAGATCTATTTCAGAATCCTGCTATATGTTATCTCCCATGCTCATCTGGGCTCGTTACATTGAATTCAAGTAAAATTAAGTGCTGGGTTAATATTCCTCCAGTATGACAATACTAAAACTTAGCAGATGCATGTTTAATCAGAAATGAATTTCTCTAACTTCAAAGTGTGCACAGGGTTGCCCCTTTACAATGTTTAATGACCTGGATCAGTATCTACTACAATTTAAGTTTAAAAACTGTTCTGGAACAGGAAAGCTGAAATCTAAAAACAAAAAGTCTCTGTTCTCTCAACCGTGGCACAACTACCTACAACAATTTGCTTTCTAAAGGCAAGAAATATTGTTTCTTGAGTGTATATACTACAAAATACCATAAGTGCAAAGGGTGAATACATTACAAAAACAGATGTAAATTCATAGGGATTTCTCTAGTTACCTCTATCTATTAGTTTTATGTTAGTGACACAAGTTAAATCAATGTCATGATATAGTAAACTACTGAATAGGATTATTATTCTTTTAATGCCCTGGCACACTGTAACCTACATTTAATAGTATATGACCAATATCAACACAACATAGAATGTTATATCTCACTTATCACTATTCCACTGGACTGTGAGAAATTAAGCAAAACAAGTTTGTATATAAGTGATTGCTTGACATTTCTTAATATAAATGTCTCCAAATAGAAACTGCACATGCAACTCAACTAATCTTCACTCAACCTCTAGAAATGTACCTACAGAACAATTTACTGACAACCTATAAAACTATAAACCACTCTAAAATGTAAAATATGAAGCACCTAAATCAATATTGCTTTGAAAGAAAACCCTTAAACTACAGATTAAAATGTGATGCAGTTCTTTCTTCAAGTCTTTTAAAAACATCCTTACTATAGCATATATTCAGCTCAACTTACTTCAACAATCCAAATTGTTTTTCTTTCCATATGAAAAATGGCTTTAGGTGCACTCCTATGCATGCTTGGTACAAAGCAGACCCATGACTGGGAACACTGGGAATTGTAGGCCTTTCTTCTGTCCAAACATGCATATGATTGTGCCTTTAGCTATTTGCCAATTACTTTGGGGGATGAACTGTGAACTAAGTTTCTATGCTATTCCTTATTTATTCCTTTTTCCTGTTTAAGTTGCTGGGGTGAATCCTCAAAAATGTAAGCCATGGTGTTCACCTAAACTTACATCCCATTAATTTTAAAGGAACTTGGAAATGTCTCTGAATAGGTCACTCGCAAGCTATACAAAAGCTTCAAAAACCCACTCTTATTTTAGAACAATTGAAGCATGAACAAGTTTTCTTTGTTCAACATCATATGCAAACATCTCATTTTCAAACCTCAAGCAGAAAAAAATTGCAACTTATCCAATTCTCCTTGCCCTTCAACAGTTTTCTGCAATCAAGAATATAGAAAAGAGACAAAGTGCAAGTCTATTAGCCAGAGAACAAAGGGAGTAGCTCTTAGGAAGCAGCATAATAATATTTGATTGACACACCTTTCAGAAACAGAAACTAGCCTGGTCTATAACTATTACTGAACCTTTTCACCTTCATCTCTACACTCACCTGTCTCCACCTGAGCCATAATGTCCTCCTTGCATCGTGTCAGTTTCTAGATGAGATACCATATCTAAGCGGTGGTTAAATTTTGACATTACATCATCAGCACTGGTGCCAGTGGATGCGTTAAAGTTCATGTCTGTATCTGAATTAGGCATTTCCCAAGAGTTTGAAGTGGCCATACCATACCCATAATTGCCAGAGTTATCCTGACCGTATCCATATCCATAACTATAGTCCTCGTAACCTGAAAGGAAAAGCAGTCAGTGAGTTTTCCAATAAGTGTAGATTGTTAATCATGAGCATCTAACACAAAGTTCTCAGCACCAGGGATATTCTCACTGGGATGCAGTAGCTGTGCCTAACAGCAAAATGTTTGGGACAAGCTTTGTCCGTATCTCCTGCTAATGTAAACTTAAGAAATCAGTGTCCTTATCTATGTGACAGCAATGCATAGCACATTTCCTGCTAAAGCCAATCCTCCTTTTTAGCCAACACAGCAATGGCAGCAGTACTACTGCCTACTGTAGTAGCCATGATGCAGTATAGGCAAATGTAGGGACAAGACCATAGGAGGCTAAAACAGAAACAGTGCACTTTAGGTCTTTAAAGATTGCTTAGAGAAAGGCAAGGTAGCAGCCTTCATGGCCAGGTTTAAACTCTTAGCATTTCCTCTTTGCAGGAGCACGAGACCAACCAAAATGGTCTACCCACAGAAGTTGACAGATTCCAAATGGTTCTGGGTAGATATCCTGCTAGTACAGCTGGTACTCCAGGCAAAGCCCTGGTCACTCTGTAGAGTGCAGAACTGACCTCAGCAGTGATGTCAACTACACCTGGGCAGTGCTTTGGATGCACCCAACCTGAGGGAATGAAGAAAACTCATTGTGAAGAATAAGTTAAGAGTTCATTATTCTAGAGCACTGAGAGTATCAAAAAGTTCTTTTCCACCACTGCTACTTTTTTTTCAGTCACTCAGCACACGTTTTCTGATTAATTTGCAACCTGCTGCAATCTGGGCCAGAAATGATGGAAACAATGGCAGCATGCTGAGAAAGTTTGCAAGAAATTTCTGACATAATGCTGGACATATGCAACAAATCTAGGACTCTACCCTTAATGCAGTTCCATCAGTAAAGTTGTGCAGAGATGGAGGATTCAGATAAGGTTTGTGGGCACAATAGATCACCCTTGCCTACTATGCAGAATGGATAAAAACCAATGATTTAAAAAATAATTTTTAAAAATTTAAATTGGATTTAAATTGGATTTTTTAAAATAAATTGTTTTTTGAGGAAAATCCATCTAAAATAGTTTTCTATTTAAGATAGATTATTGTCCAAAGGTTATTCATCATGAAATATGGATGTGTTTTTAATTATGTAGCATGAGGTTGTATATTCATGCAATGTCATGCTCTTCTAGAGGTTTAAGATTATTGGGCAATTTTTCTGCCTGGAAGATATTATCAAAGATGCTTGGTTTTCAGTTTTCAGTTTTCAAAACTGTGAATTTGTGTCTGCAGAGATCACATGCCTCTTTACAGCAAAAATCATAAAACAAACATACAGTGTTTAGAAAAAGTCTTTAATCCCATTGTTCCTTTGCAAAACTATGTACACAGAATCAACCTCTTACCTCTCAAGTTCTAAGTTTCAAAAAATCAATGAATAAAAGAAGATTGTTGGGAGTGGAATAGATCTGCACAAGAAGCTAGTGGGAGAAGGGGGAGGCAAGCAGCAAAAATGAAAGTTTTTGAGCGGAATATTCCACAAGCCTTTGACTCTTTTTGTGTATAGTCTAAGGTTTATCATATTATTCTTTCTCTGGAGAAGAAAACCTGTAATGGCAGCAGGCTGTAAAAGAAATCCAGTTTGGGAACATTTTATTGAAGTTCCTCTATATGGGTAAGGCAGGCATGCGTGCAAAACCATGATTTAAATCTAGTCTTAGTGACTAGTGTTTTAAATTGTGATTTAAATCAAATCCACCCTGCCACTATTACTTATTCAATATAAAGGCAATATATAAAGACAGTATATATATTGCAGGGATGCTCAATGTAGTGTGGTCCTCACCAGGATCTTCAACAGTGACCAAAAAACTTTCTACTCCCTGCCACCTTCAAATATATGCATTTTAAATAAAAACATTTGAGGAAGTTAGGATAGTTTTTCCTTTTCTAGCCTTGTCCTTTCTTTCCTTGTTACCTCTTTTCCTTGCTATTTCCCTGTTCCATCAAACTACTTACCATCTCTACCCTCACTAAACACTTCTTTACCTCATTTTTAGTTAGTGAGCCACTTGTCATGCCAGCAGTCATTGTGTGACTAGCCACATCCTCAGGACAGACATTTTATGGTAGCGCCCAAATCTGGTTCTCAGATTTTCAAATGTGCCCACTGGTAGTGGTTAGAGACTTGTACTGGGACCATGAAGATCCAGGTTCAAATCCATACTTGGCCATGAAGCTCCCTGAATGACTTTGGGCCAACCTACATTACAGGGCTGTTGTGAGGATAAAAAGCAAAGAGGATCGCGAATGTAGCCTTGGACTGTTGAAGACAAAGCAGGATCTAAATGTAACAAATGCATAAATAAATAACAGGGAATGGATGTCACTCATACTACAAGGCAGTATGGGTTAATTTTAAAGGAGAAGATACTTCCTTCAAAAGAGGTGGTAATTAAAGCTATCCTGAAGAAGCCCCACAAGATGTTAACAAGGCAAAGTGCTTAAGTGGGTGACTGCCAGCCAAGTACAGACATACTTGAATGCAAATGATTATCTAGCTTCATTTCAATTGGATTTCAAGTCTTTCTCTTTGACTGGAAACTCTTTAACAATGGAAACTGTCTAGGACACTTTGTGGAATGAGCTTTTCCTGAGAAAGGGATGGGGAAGGGCAGCACTGTAAATTCTCTTGGTGTCAAAATGGTATCAAAATAGCTTTTGATACCATAAGCCAGGCATGTCCAAAGTCCAGCCCGGGGGCCAATTGTGGCCCGTTTTCAGATTTCAAGCAGCCTGCAGCCTCTTCTCTGCACCGGCTCAGCCTGTCACTCATCCCCGCTGGCCGGCGTTTTTCCCTTCACTGCACAGCGGTTCCCGCAGCTGTCCCCTGCTGCCTCCTGCTCCTTCAAGGCTGGTGGTTATATTTCACCAGAAGATGGCAGTAGACCTGAGTCAGCACTCTCAGTGCATGACCCTTGCGACACAAGGCTTGTGTGCCCATTTCTAAAATGGCAACTGTAACTAAAAAAAAGAAAGTTGACAGCAAGGGCCGCTGCTTCCAGGACAAGTGGAAATTGGAGTATTTTTTCACTGAAATACGAAATAACTGTGTCTGCCTAATTTGCCAAGAGATTGTGGCTGTTTTCAAGGAATTCAGTATCAAGAGGCACTACCAGATGAAACATGCTAACTACAACAAGCTAACTGGGAACGAACGCGGCGAAAAATTGAAGGAACTGGAAGCTGCTTTAACGGCACAGCAGCGCTTTTTCACAAGAGCCCGTGAGTCAAATGAAAATGCCACAAAGGCGAGCTACGAGGTGGCAACGCTGATTGCCAAGCACTGCAAACCTTTTACTGAGGGTGAATTTATTAAAGACTGCGTGATGAAAATGGTGGACAAAATTTGTCCTGAGAAGCAGCAAGAGTTTGCCAATGTTTGCCCGGCTTGTAACACTGTGGTACGGAGAACTGAAGACATTTCATCTGATATTAAGAGACAGTTACAGGCAAAAGGAGTGGAGTTTGACCTTTTTTCGTTAGCCTGTGACGAAAGCACGGATGCATCTGACACCGCTCAGTTATTGATTTTTTTGAGAGGAGTGGACAATGACATGAACGTGAGTGAAGAGCTACTTGACCTCCAGAGCCTTAAGGACCAAACAAGAGGAACAGATTTGTTTCTGTTTGTTCTGCCATAGATGACATGAAACTACTGTGGAATAAAGTCACTGGGATTATTATGGATGGTGCACCTGCCATGGCTGGTGAGCGAAGTGGATTATCAACCCTAGTCTGTAACAAAGTCAGCGAAGAAGGAGGCAAAGCTACAAAACTCCACTGTATTATTCACCAACAAGTTCTCTGTGCCAAACATCTGAAATATGATCATGTTATGAAACCAGTGATGAAGGCTATTAATTATATTCGCTCCAAAGTCCTGTGCCACCACCAGTTTCAACAGTTTCTATTCGACATCCAGGCTGAATACGGAGATGTTGTGTATCACAACAAGGTAAGATGGCTCAGTTGGGGGTCTGCACTGCAGCGCTTCTACTCTCTTAAGGAGGAAATCGGACAATTCTTGGCAAAAAAGGAACAACCGATGCCAGAGCTATCTAATCCTGTTTGGCTGGCTGATTTTGGATTTTTAGTTAACATAACACGACATCTGAACATGCTGAACACAAGCCTTCAGGGGCAAAATGCAGTGGTAAGCCAACTGTACTCACATATCAAAGCCTTTGGGACCAAGCTGCTACTTTTCCAAAGGCACCTGTCACAAACGCAGCCCAATACCACACATTTCCCATCGCAGGAAAAAATGACCAGTTTTCCACAGAATAATATGAGTGCGCAAATAAGGAGGTATGAAGCAGACATCTCATCTCTGGCTGAGGAGTTTCAACAGCACTTTCGGGATTTTGCAGCTATTGAAAAGGAGATCATGCTTTTTTCATCTCCTTTCTCTGTGGACCCTGATGACGCTCCAGACCACCTGCAGCTGGAGCTCATTGAGCTGCAGTGTGACGCCGAGTGTCGCAGTTGGCACCAACAGCTCCCTCTTGTCAACTTTTACTACCAGCTGGATAAAGACAGGTTCCAAGAGATGCGAACATTTGCTAAGAAAATGCTGAACTTGTTTGGTTCGACATACTTGTGCGAGAAGACATTCTTGGTTATGAACAAGAACCGCATGAGGACAAAACTAAGTGACTTTCACCTGCGTGACATCTTGCGCATCAAAACCACTGTTTTTGAGCCAGACCTGGCCTATATAATGCAGTCGAGATCTCAGTATCACCCTTCACATTAGTGTAGTTATTTGTTTAGTCTTTCATAAAATAGTTCATTTGCATTTAATGTTAATGGTTCAAAGAATGTCAGGCTGAATGGTCGGCCCCCACACATTTTCACCTCACCAAATCTGGCCCTCCTTGCAAAAAGTTTGGACACCCCTGCCATAAGCTATGGAAGCCTTCATATCTGAGGTGGATTTGGTACTGCAATTTGCTGGTTCCATTCCTACTTGGATGGTCAATTCTAGAAGTTGGCATTGCAAAGATATTTTTCTGTCCCTAGAAGATATGCAACAGGGTTCCACAGCATTCTAATTTCCTGCTGTATTCAACATATACATAAAACCAGTGGGAGAGTTGACTGAAGAGTCACCAATGTGCAAGTTGATCTCTCCTTTTCATCAACTCAAGGTGAGAGAGTAGCTGTTCTGAATGTGGTAATGGGTGACCTGGGTGTGCTAGTGGACTGCATAAGGAACAAGAAAATGATATTCAATCCACACAAGACAGAATTACCGTCAGTGTTTCACCTACTTAGCTAACTGATGTTCAATCTGTTCCAAAAGGGGTTATATTCCCCCTAAAGGTAGTGTGAGCAATTGAGGGAGACTGCCAGCTCCCCATGAGCTGCTCTCAGCAGGGCATCACAGATTTTTAAAAATGACACTGAAATTTGATGGCAAACCACTCCATGGTGCTCCATTGCTCTTGGGAGCACAGGTGGCCTTAGTGCTACGAAACATTTTTATCAGTTGAGGCTGCCAAATCAACTGCAACTCTATCTAGACAGAGATAACCTAATTCTAGTTATCTGTGCTGTGGTAATCGTTGTTTGGATTATTACCATATATACCTGTGTGCTGTAAGAAAAGATAAGGTCAATATTTTGACATGTTTTCCTGGTATTTGTCATATCTCAGGTATATAAAATAACCCCCAATTTTTCCTTTGGTATTTCTGGTTTGAGGGATGATCTTATATGTAAGTATATACAGTGGTACCTTGGCTCACGAACTTAATCCATTCCACAACCCAAACTGATTGTAAGCCAAGTCAAATTTTCCCATAACGTTCAATGTAAATAAGGTTAATCCATTCTGTAACCATTTTTTATCATAAAAAATTGAAACAAAGTGACAAAAAACAACAAAGTAACAAAGAACAACAAAGATTGCGGCCATCCCCCCCCCCCACCCACCAAAACCACCCACCTCCCCCCCACTATGAGCACAACCGCAGCCATCTCCCCCCCGAGCACAGTCATAATTGCGCGTCCATAGATGGGCGCGATCGCGGTCGCACTTGGGCAGGTAAGACGGGCACAATCGCGGCCATCTCCCCCCACAGCACAACTATGATCGCACCCAAGCAGGGAAGATGGGTGTGATCATGATTGTCACCCAATGCGGAGTTCGCGACCTGATGCATAATTTTTCTGAAATTTCTATTTCTGACCCAATTTGGTCGTGAACTGAGGCGTTTGTGAACCGAGGTACCACTGTACAGGTATTTGTCTGCTGGAAGAGCCTAGACTCTTGCAACATCACATTACCATATTCTTACTAATATTCTCCTTACCTCTCAAATTTCACTCAAGCTCATGTTTGTCCTCTATATGCCTTGGCTCATCTCTATGCGATCTGTGTCTAGATAAAGTTTTGTACACTTTCTTTTTCACCCTATACTATGGATCTCCACAAAGGAAGAAAATATGATGCTTGTTTTAACCTAAAGATTATTGAAATTGCAAAACAGTCTAATAACTATAATGTAGCTAGAAGGTTTGATGTTACTGAGAAGATAGTTCTGAGACTGGAGAAAGAATGAAGACAAAGTAAGGAAAATTTTCAAGAATAAATGTACTATGAAAAGTGGAGTCACATGTTGGCCAAAACTGGAGTATCAAGTTGCAGAATGGATGCTTGAACAAAGGCAACAAGGTTACATCAGAACAAGAAGCATGACCAGATTGTATGCTCTAAAGTGATCAAGACTGAATCTAGGCAAAGAAAAGGATTTTAAGTCAACCTCTGGATAGTGTGGCCGGTTCAGGAATAGAAAAAATCTTGTAACTAGGCAAAAACCAAGAATTTCTCAGAAACGTCTACCAGATCTTGATCATAAAGTTATTAATTTTATACATTTATTTAAGGCAACAATATGAAACTAGCATTTTAAACACTGGAACAAGGTCAAAACTCCAATGAACTTTGACATGATAAGCAGTGACGTCTATGGAAATCTTAGGTTCCAAAATCATGCTAAGAGAAATTACAGGACATGAAAAACATAGGTTTACAGTGGTATTGTCTTTCAGGGCTGATGGCAGGAAGTTAAAACTGATGGTTATGTTCAGGTCAAAGACTAGACCCCACAATTTTCCTGCTGGAGTTTTCATTCATTTTCATGAAAAAGGACGGATTGATGAATGAGAACGGAGTCAAACTGTGAATTAATAACATGTGGAACAAGCAACCAGGAAGAATGTTTCAGAAAAATACTAGTTTACTAGTATGGGATATGTTTTGTAGTCACACATGGATGCTACAAAAACTGAACTGGCAGAAAATAAAACTAAAATGGCTGTTATACCAGGAGGATTGACTTCAGTCTTGCAGCCATTAGATGTGTTCTTAAATAAACCTTTTTAAAACGATAAGCATAAAGATTGGAATAACAGGATGATGTCTGCTGAGAAATCATTCACTAAAGGAGGATTGATGAGCACTCCACCACTCTACCTTTTGTGCAATTTTGCAATAACCATGTGGGACAAAGTTAAAGCGGAAAGTGTTATTACATCATTTAAGTGCAGAATATCTAACATAATGGACAGAAGTGAAGATGACCTCCTTTGGAACAGTGATGACGATGAAAGACATGAAGAACATAGTTTCCTGGAGCCAGACTGATAACCTACAAAATTAAACTGAAAATGCCATTGAAGACCTCCTCAATTTGGAAGACTAAGCAAATTATCCAGTATACTTGGTTACTTTGGTATTGGTACATACCAGTAAGAATTTTATGATTATTAATAAAAATGATCTTGTAAATACTATTATTTTAATACTTATCCTGATCTTTTAATATCCTGATGATTAATTTAATAGGATGAAAATCTTTCACCTGGCATATAAGACACCCCCTTGATGACTTTTGCATCACTATATTGAGTTTGAGTGTTGGTATATGCCGGTATATACAGTACAATGCATTGCACATTAAGCGGCTTTTGAAAACAGTCCAGAAGCTTCAGCTTCAACTAGGGCAGTGAGATATCATATTATATCAGGGCTTTGTGATCTGCAGTGGCTTCTGGTCCATTTCTTGCCCAAATCAAGGTGCTATTTACCTTGAAAACGCTAAACTTCTTGGGAACAGGTATGAGGGATTGTCTCATAGATAGATATAGTCACACACCCCTCTCTGTACGCAAACATCATTTTGAGAGGCACTTCTGCAGATATGCCTGTAAACTGAGATAAGTAGCTACTGAACAGAGGGCCTTTTCTCAGCCATGAAATGCCCTCCACAGAGAAGCTATCCTAGTGCCTATGCTGTGGTCTTTCTGGTATCAGGAAAAGAAGTGCTAATTTTCCCAGGATTTTTAGACCCTCATTAAAAGAACAACAACAACAATCTGTGTTTTCTTTAGATTTTAGCACTTTTATTACATTTTTAATATTTAATATTTACTTTAGATCACAGTTTTAAATGCTTGAAGTTCTTAGGTTGCCTTATTATTTCATTCTATGGTCTTAAGCTCTGTTATATGAGCTACCCCATAAACTTTGATTACTGGGACATATAGAAACATAATAAATAAGCATGTTAAATAATTTATCATGTGCATGGGGATATACATCTGTAAATTAACTGGATCTTAGAGAACTGATTCATTTCTTTTCAGGATGTGGGCAACATTTCCACGGGGGGCAGTCAATACTTTCCACATTCTACAGTTGCCAACATATACAATGCACAACTGAATGGACTGATAGCCACCCAAGTCCCTTTCACACTTGGCACAAGAACATAAATCAAGAAAAAATAGGATGTATGATACCATGTTTCAGCTTAACCCAGGCCTAAAACGAAGGACACTCATTAAGAACTAAAACTTACAAGGAAGGAAAGGCAAATTCATCACAGCCAGTAAAATAAAATTTAATCAAGTGAGCAGGTCTGGTCACATTCAAGTCATCTCACTACAGAACACTCAGCAAAATTACTTAAGTCCAGTTTAATCTGGAAGATATTCCAAACAAATTCAGACCTGGTTCACCATGCCTTCTACATTATTTATGTACTCCATTGTTTTTGTACTGTCTCCTAAAGATGTAGATGAACATATGATCTGAACTATTTCATAATTAAAAAGCACTGCAATCCTATGCATGTTCACTGGAAAGTAAGTCCCACAGTTGGGCTTACTTCCAACTGTGCACAGGATCACATCCTAAGAATAAATTCTCGTGAAACAATTGTTACAATCTAAGAGGCTTTGCTCCTCTTTCATATTTAGAAAACAGCTAGGAAAGCAAGCAGAATTTGGTTTCAATCTAATGTACACCTTCTTGTAACTCCCAGTTAAGTAATTAGGACACTTCTGAGTAAATATGCATAGGACTGGACTGTTAATATTACTTGTTACTATTATCTTATAGATAGCATGTAGGAAAAGGAAAGTGATAAACTGCTGTCTATATTCAATATGCAGATTATCAAAGATCTGTCATACATAAACATTTGTAGTGGTTTTACTCTCAGACAGAGGCAGGTATTGCAACATAAATCTAAACAATGGAAAAAGACTCATGCAGCAGATGTTATGAAAAGAAAATACACTGAACCTGTAGAAAATCTGATTATTTCAGTATTACATGGTTTAGTTAAATGTGTATTAATACTCCATTAAGATCCATGGTACTTGCCTCTATTTGCGCCTGAGTTCCAGTTTCCATAGCCTAGAAAGAAGATATCAAACAGATGTCAAAACCTATGTTAGTTATAAGGGTTTTCTAGATAGATCCAGATCAAACTATTTTTCAGCTGTATCATTAATGAGACCTTACATGAGTATCCACTAAAGCATAGCTAAATCAGAACATAAACCACAATGAAAATCTCACTTAATTAACAAAAAGTTATACTTTGTTAAACCACCACCACTGATATTATGCAATGCGCTGATGTGCAGAAATGCTTGCTGCACTGCTCATGGTCTAAGTGAGAAGCCGCAGTATTATGTGAAACCTATGGCTTGCAACAATCATTGCTCCTAATGTTAATACCACTTGCAGATTAAGGAAACTGGTTTGCACATAACAACAACCCAGAATATGAGTTGATAATGTGCTGTTGTTGAATCATGGGAGCTACATGTGAGCCCTGCATTATGGTTTAACAATGGGTTAATCATGAACAATTCTGGAAGAAAATATATACTTCGGGTTGGATTATGAATTCTGAGTTTAGGAATCATGAGAAAGCCACAGGAACATCTGCTACTTGTCCCTCTCTTCTTCTTTCAGGAATTCCCTCACCTCAATTTTCTCTACCCTCATTAGGATTGCACCTAAGTATTGCTAATCTAGTTAAGAGAATGCCTAATCATGGACAGTAGAGGAGGATAATGGGGAATTCCATGTAAGTTTGGAGGAGTAATGTGACCATGCAACCATAGCTTTATATTACACTATTCTGACCTTAACAGTGGCAATAACTATTAGATATGTAACATTTCCAGAAATACTGAAGCCATGGAAAAACTGGACAGTGAGAATTGGAATATATGCAATAATTTTCTTCCTTCCTTCCTTCCTTTGCTTGCTTGCTTGCTTCATTCTACTTCAATGCCACACCTAGCACTTATTCTTAACATACACTGATTGTACAGCTTTAACAATGTAAACACTTCATTTATATCACAGCTAGAATATAAAATTGTAGTATTCAGTATGTCTGTAAAATATACAAACCAAAGTTATGCATGCTTATTAGGAAGTAAAATCCATGCAAGTCTGTAGAGGTTTGTGCACATACCTTACCTGCAGGTATATGCACATAAGACTGCAGCCATGTCTTAGTTTTATACAAACAAAATTGCAAATATACCTAGTATTAGAGAAAGTGGGCCTGAGAAAGAGTGCTACCACTAGCTACAGCCTATGCTATCCAAACACGTTTCTCAGTTTTTACCATCTGAGAAAGAAGAAAAAACTGCAGCCACAAAATTTATAGTAACCAAAGATCAGTGTATGATTTAGGAAGAAACAGTCTCATACAGTCACAATATTAATGCATCTTGAATTTGAGTATTGTATATGCCTACAATATACACTGCATTCTAATTCTTTTATTTAATGATGGATTCACACTCAGTTTTGTGACAGAAATAGCCTTGACAGATGGCCTACACAAGGATCCAGACAGGAGAATGTGTCCCTGCTGGTTCTGTTGGATCTCTCAGCAGTATACAATACCATTGTATCCTTGTAGAATATCTGGAGGATAGGAAACTTGGAGACACTGTTTCACAGTGGTTTCAGTCCAATATAACTGAGAATTCCCAGAATTTGATGCTAAGGGTTGACTGCACAGCCCCTTGGTCTTTGATCTGTGGTACTTTGCAGGGCTTTAGTTTGTTGCCTATGCTTTTTAACATCTAGCCACTACACTAAAAGATGTGGTGAAATAATCACTCCTGAAAAAGCCTAATTGGATTCAGAGGCTTGTATCAACTATCACCTAGTCACTGAGAACTCTTTTCTGAGCAAGTGGCTCAAAAATGTGGTGGCAGTGTTCCAGTTTGGGTTCTGGCCTGTATATGGAACAGAAGTGGCCTTCACTGGCCTGAAGGAAAACCTTTATCAAAATAGGAACAGAAGAAAGACAACCCTGTTAACTCTTACTCAATTTCTCAGAAATTGGACTGAGAATTGGGAGCACTGTTTTACAATTGTGTCACTGCTATCTAAAAGGTAGGGTTCAGAGAAGAACACTGGACTCCTGGTAGCTCAGTCCTCTGGCAATTGTGCTTTGGGGTGCCAGAAGGGGCTAGTTTGTTGACAGTACTATTTGACATATGTACCAGGAATTAATAATATCCAGCCCATGGGCCCAATCTGGAGTGATTCCTCATTTGGCTCATGGATCAGTAGCTCTTTCAACAGATATTGCCTACTCTAATTCCAAGTCCAGCCCACCTCTCCTGGAAGCTACTGGGGGCTTGGGCAGGAGGTCTGGAGATAAATTGAGGGAGCAGTGTGCTGTGCTACATTTGTGCTTTCTGTTGGTGTATGCAGGAGATCATACAAGTACCACCTGAGTCATCTCAGTTATTGACGGTGAGCAATGCTTAAAGGTACTTTCAAGGCTAGTCAGATACCTTCACTTTGCACAACACATAATTAGAACAGCACACAAAGGAGGTGTCCAACTTGATTGTCTATAAGAGGAGGAGCTAGGAGTACACCAAGGAATCATCCGGCTTGGAAGAAACAATCCTTCAAGCATCACCCAAGCCCCTTTATTTGTATGGAAAGAGAGAGAAAAAGGAAATAATACACAGGGTTGAAGCCATTGCAAGCAGACATTAGGGGTATTAACAAAAGTTGTCTGGGCATGTTTAACCTTGAAAAGAGAAGACTGAGGGGAGATATAGCAGCTCTACAAGTACTTGAAAAGCTATCACAAAGAGGAAGGACAGGATCTCTTCTTGATCATCCCAGAATGCAGGGCATGGAATAATGGGCTCAAGTTACAGGAAGTCAGATTTTGACTAGATCTCACAAAAAATTTCCTATCAAAGCAGTATGACAATGGAACCAATTACCCAGGAGGTTGTGGGCTGTCCCACACTAGAGGCATTCAAGACAGTTTAACTTGGAGTCCTGCACTGAACAGGAGGCTGGACCCAATGGCCTTCTGGCCCCTTCCAACTCTACCATTCTATGCGTCATCAGTATGTGATGAGATCCAACTCTATTTTTCAATTATATCTGCATTTGGAGAGACTGTGCCTGAATACAGTGGGTGGACTCTATGAGCAGTGGCGGTGAATCCCAATAAGATGGAGGCATTGTGGATGGGTGGCTCCTGGATCCTGGAAATCTGGATGAAGTTGCACCCCCCTCTTGATGGAATTGATACACAGTTTGGGGCTGCTCTAACATTCCTTGTTGACACCGGAGACCTCCATGGCAAGAAGCATCTTTTACTAGTTTCTGTTCTTATGCCAGCTGTACACATTCCTGGTGAGGGATAGTTATAGATACTAAACTGTATGCATTGTGTAACCTTGAGACTAGACTACCATAATTTGTGCTATGTGAGGTTGTTTCAGGTTGGCTCAGAAGCTGCAGCAAAGCTGTGGAATGGAAAGCTTTCCCACCTGTGTATGTATCACATCTGTCAACACTGAAGAGTTCCACTGACTTCTGATTTGCTGCAGAATCAGGTTCAAGGTACTGTTTATTGACAAATGAAGCCCAAAGCCGGACCATGCTACTTATAAAATAGTCTTCCATCTATGCAGACATCTTAAAGCACCATGGTCTTTGGAGGGGCTTGTTGTCTATGCCACATCATGCAGAGTTCCACTGGAGGCTACACAGTAACAATACTTTTATGTGGTGGCCTACTCTGAAAGGTCCTCTCACCAGCAATATGCCAGCCATCAGTTGCTTCTGATATTAAACCCTGATCTGTTTATCTTGACTTTTCCCACTATTAACTGATTTAAGGCTAGTCTTGCACAGCCTTTAATTCATAATATCACTGACTTATCATTTACTGTAAATCTTTTCAGGGTTTTTAAACATGGGATGCAGTTTATAAATAATTTAAATAATTCAAGGTTCTACTTTTGACCTACAAAGACTTAAAACATGGAGAACCTGATTCAAGGATTAAATCTGGCCTATGAAGCTGTCCCATCCCATTCATGGAGCCCTGAGTGAAGCCTCTCCAGGAAGCCCCAACTCTCAAAAAGGAAAGTGCAGGGAATCAACTGAGCCACTGCCTAAAGGCCACGGTTCAATCACTTCACTCTTTCTTCACATGGAGAAGGCAAAGGAGGAGTTACACCAATGCAAAGTCAGCCAGTAATTTGAGGCACCAGTTGATTCTTGAGGTCAGGACTTTGCTCCTCTTCTGTGATCCCCATGCACAGAATGCAAAGGATGAGCAAATCCAGTGTCACTGCAGGCTTTGC